TGTAGATCGTCTCATTTTATTCTCTTCATATGCTCCTGTTTGGATATATTCCACTGAATATTGAAACATACAGTAACTGGTATAGCAGATTTTACTTATTGATGAAGGTGCTTGTACAAGATCATGAGATGTTGAAAGCTCACCTTTTTTCAACCTTGGAGTTTATAAATACGCCTTTCTCTTACAAGCTGTCTACATCACACAGACTTACCTTTATTAGATATAAAAGGTCAAATTTGTTATGTAAATGATTGGAACAAAGGGCCTCGGTAACATGTCTCCATTCCACCTCCTTCTCTGCAATCCTTTCAACCTCGCTCCATGACTGCCCATTACCCTTCATTTCTTCCTCACACGATCTCCTGCATGTCACCCTCACCTCGACGCCCAACTCACCGTTTTCCATCTGAGTTCCACTCCAGTACCTGACGCTTGATGTCACCGATCGGCCTTCTCAGTGTATGCCCAATCCATCTACACTCTCTTCTCATGCATATTTATTGGATGATAGGTTCTTGCTCTGTTTGTTCGTTGTCAGCCAGCAAGCCAGAGTTCCTCCTTGCTTATTCTTTCTGGCCATCTGATCTTCGGTGACGAGCGTGGGTGGCAGATGTTGATAAATGTCTGTAGTTTGTTGAAAATGCTTTTCGTGAACGCCAAGTTTCTGAACCACCACATAGCAGCACTGACTTGAGTGAATTGGTGTTGAAAATCCGGATGATATTCACGCTTTATGCTGAGTGCAGATCTCTACACTGATTTCAAATTAATGAAGGGAGGCCGATCTTGCTTTTCTGATCCTAGTTTTGACCAGGATACTTCACTTTCAAATACCTTAGATAATGAAGTATCCTATTCTTCATTCAATACTTCTGTAGTGAAAACTACTTATTACGATGCGTATCAGTAGTATATCTAACAATGTCGAAGATGACAACGATAGATTGACGAGAAATCCGACTAAAATAACGGTATAGACGATGATATTAGTTGGAAAAGTATTGGAAATCTGAGAACACTGGACAGGTGTTTCGTCCCAGAGTAAGACTCCTCAACAGAGTGCATTCATAAACTCGCCATCTAGATTTCATCTAAACAACCTACCACATTCTCCTACTTAGGTGAATTATCCAATCATGTTATGTGTTTAATGAGTCTCCTAAATGATTTTAGTTCTATGATGAACAATATACCGTTTAGAAGAGAAAGAATGTTTGTTGAGAAAAACATACAACAACAACAACAACAGAATACGCCTATCAAAGTAAATAGGATAACTATAATTACCGTCAAATTGTGACTTGATTATTGGTGCTGGTTTACTGGCCAAACAGATTTTACGTGCATGTTTCGATAGAAATGTACTATTCAACTTCATTGGAGTCTTATGACTACCATGTGATACATTATCTCCATTTAAATTTGTCTGTAATTTATAAATGAAGGATAAGATTGATTTTTCTTTAATTTTTCAACAAATAAATTAGACCATTTTGACTCGAATATCGGAGTATCAGTTTGGTTGTAGATCGTCTCATTTTATTCATCAGGTAACTGTACTCGTGTAAATTCAACTCTAAGAAGACACTCTTATCACTTTTTTTATAACCAGTGTAGCAGATGAAGATTCCTATTTGGCATAGACTGATATTATTAGAGTGGCAGAATATATGCATTTGATAACAGGAAAAGATCAGACTTGGTTTCTGATCCGTATCACATAAAGGCCAGTTATAGACCAAAATTCTGCATTTGAATGGAGAGAAACGTATTCCAAACATTTTCAAATTGTCACTTAAAGTGTCCAGACGATTCTTCACCTTATCGGATGACAAGTGTACTAAGGAATCTCCTTTAAGAAGGTCAATCCTTGTAAAGTCAAACGATGAGATAGAAATAGTTCATCACAAGTACGCTGTTGACACAATCAGGTAGAAAGGGATCGATTAGACCTCACAGACGAGCATCACTTCACGTACACAGCACAGCTGATACTTCAACATCACCTATAACACGCTCACGGGTGTTGAAATACTGTACTTAACTGGCACTCCTTTCAGTGAGAGACAATGTCATAAGATCTCTCCATTGACAGAGTCGAATACCATCTACAGATCTACAAATACATGCAGTGTCAGGCGTCAGTAAGCGTTCCTGTGTTCTAGAACCTCGAATAGAATCAATATCCCATCGATACTCTCACGATGATGTGTGAAATATCAGGCATTTTAGTAACATCCGCTTATTGCGCATAACCAGATGAAGTTAGAAAAGTGATTGTTTGACAGTCTATGTGTTCAGTAAATGTAAGTTCACCCTGCATGCCTAGTCAGGATTTCTCATCCCAATCCATTTCTAACTGAATTAGAACGAGTGGGAGAGCATCATACTGATTATTGTTTTGGTTATGTGAGATAGTCGTGGTTTGGTAGACTAGTGTATTTATGATAGGTGATGATTGGGGGTTAAATGAAAATATCAACGGCATGCTGATTCGAATAAGCGACCACCAGGTTTCCGTTCCGATGCTCTAATAACTGAACTACGACATCTGGAAACAAGGTGGTCGCTGGTTCGAACACCACCGCGGTCGAAACTTTCATTTCACCTTCAATCATCACCCAGTTATCAATACTAGTCTGCTAAACCACGGCTGCCACCTCACTCAGAGAATCGAAATGATGCTCCCCTTCTCATTATACAGTCAATCAAATTTAGATTTGTATGAGATATTGTGACTAGGCAGCCAGAGTGACTGAGGTCAAGTGGTAGTAACGCGTCACCAATTCACATGGTAGTCGGACAAAAAGCTGATAGTGATTGAGTGAAATAAAAATCCAATCAGTAGTCGGACCTCACAGCTCAATTGGTAGAACATCAAGCTGAAGACCCAGTGGTCGCTGCTTCGAATCCTGGCGATGGTTCAAAATTTAATTTCACATTCAATAATCACTCAGTAGAAATATTTCAACTTAACTCAGGCTGCTATCTTAGATGGTCAAATGGAAATGTAAATTCATCAACGAAGATATGTGGATTGCTAATAAATCAAGTTGGCAGGCTGGTTGAACCTCGGGTTACCACCTCCTTTTTATCATGGAATAATATTCTACTAAATATCTCCTTTGTATACTGTTTTAATTATTCAGTTATCTTATCTAATCCCATCTTATACAGTCGAGGATTATTAATATCCTTATGATCTATTGGTCTACAAGTTGGTAGACAAAATTAAAGAAAAGTACCATAATGGAAAGCAACAGACTGTCAAGAGTATGACTATTCAGGAAATGATGGAACCCACTTATCAACCCATATATGAATATATCTTACAGTGAACAGAATGTTTCAGAATTGTATCCAGTTAGGGGGTAAACTATGTGGAATAGCTAAAGGAAGTTAGTTAATACACATTTGAGTTGAGAATGGGGAAAATAATCAAGGGATTATTAGAAATACATGTATAATTACGTAATATAGGATCAATCTATGACAGTCAAGGCTTTATGATGACTATAGCTAATGATCAGGGTTGGACATATAACATTAGTTTGAACTTCTGAATATCTAGTGCTTCATCTATACCCAAATTGCCCTTGATCATATTCTCTTCGAATGGTTTGATCGAACCATGTAGAGGATTTTAAATGAGTGACTTGAGTTCACAAGATGGTCTGTTATTGAATGTAAGATACATTTCCACTTTTATCTTAGCCAGCCAAATTGGATAATGTTGGTGGGCACGTTTTTTGCGAGTCGACTCATGGTACAGTCGATGTATTCGCGAGGAAGAACTACTGTCTAGTCTATGATAAATAAAGTAAGGGGAGTGAGATGTTGAACTAAACATTCATCGCCTTCAAGTCATTTACTTACCACGATTAACCACATTCCCACTGGAGAGTATTCTTTCAAAAGTGCTTTTGACTTACTGACTGTAGGAATCGTTAAACTTTCTCGACGCATATTACTAGTGTTCCAATAGTTGTACATTTATTATTATTTTCCTTGGGTTCCTAGTGGAACATAAGGCTTCAGTAGCACGTCTCGATTGCACCCTGTTCCCTGCAATCTTTTGAACCTGGATCTCACTTCCTGCTTACATCATCTCCTCCATGTCATCCTCACCTCGGACGCCCAACTCGCCATTTCCCATCTGAGTTCCACTCCAGTACCTGGCGCAATTTCTCCCCTTCATGGTGATTGGTGCCGCTTGTTTTTCATGCTGTTGTTCGCTGGTTATCTCAACCCTTGTGTCTTCTCTACCTTCACTTGAAGTCCGTCTTCGCTGCCTCATCTCTTCTGTCAACTTGTTTGTTTTCACCTGTAGATCTTTGAGTTTGTGCGAAATTAAACACAAGTCATCAGCGAAATCCACATGCTCTAGTGTCTTTTCCCCGATCCAGCGTATCTCTCTCTTCTCGCTCCTCACTGTTTGTTGCATGATCCAGTCGAACACAATCAGGAATATCATGGGTGACAGTAGGTGGCAGCCTTGTCTTACTCCTGTCTTCACTTCACTTCGAAGGCATCACTGAGCTTCTCATTGTCAATTACTTGACATGTGACATCTTCATATGTTGTTGAACGAGGTTGATCAAGGTTTGTGTATTAACTCTGTAGTAATGAAGCAGCTGGAAAATTACTTCTCGGTCTACGCTGTCGGAGGACTTTCCGAAATCGATGAAGTTGAGATACAGGTACAGTTGACTTCCATTCTATACTCTGTTCCATGACGATGTACAGCATAGCGTTGCAATTCGGTCCTCACATGATTTGTACTTCCTGAATCCAGACTGCCTGTTCCAGTCGTAGTTTTGAATCCAGTGCATCTTTTAGTCTCTCAAGAATGACGGTTAATTATTTTGCTTGGACCAGTTGTATTGTGTCAATATATTTCTTACTGGTCTATAATCTAATGTCATGAATGTATCCACTTTATAACATGGTTCTAATGTAATAACAAATCGGTAATTATATCCTTTCCTCTTTCTAAATAGCATTATGTGAACAGTTATGATGAAGAGTTTGTTACAGCAACAATTCAAGCAATTGGACGATGTGCTAGTACTGTCCCACAAATATCAGATGTCTGTTTAGGTGGTCTGCTTCGATTAATGTCACGACCAAAAGGTGAGTGAGTATTCACTTGTAAAATTGATTTCCAAGTAAACTAAGTACTTTGAATATGTATACATAAGAGTAAGACAAGGCTGACGTTTACTATCACCGATGATGATCATATCCTCATTGTGTTCGACTCGATTCGACTACACTCGACTCAACTCGACTCGACTCGACTGGATCATGCAACAAACTGTCACCACCTGTGAGAAGATCGGCATACACTGGCTGTTTCACCGACGAATACACCCTACAACATTCCGACTTCACCTATCATCATTTATCTCTCATCTCTTCTCACGTAAACTCCAACATCTACACGCGAAAACTAACAAGTTAACAGAAGGGCGAGGCACAGCAGCGAACACAGGATTTCCTTCACGTGAACGTTGACACGACACAAGTGATGAAGATACCCAACCAACAACATCAACAACAACAACAAGCACCAGTCAACATTAATGGGAGAAACCTGAAGGAAGTTGTCTCTTCCACCCAACCTACCCACCCCACCTACATAGGAGGCAGCATCGTTTCAACTACAGACAGCAGCACCACGCACAGATGACGATGTCATAACCACACAGGATCCGAAAGACACCAAGTCACACCTTCCTTCATCAATCTGAAATCAGTGTGGACATCTACTGCACCACACACTGCAATGCACTCTACATAAAGCGTCAACAATATTCGGAGTTGCAACACTTATTCAGTCAAATAAGTCAGTGCTTCCATGTGATGGTTGAGAGACTTGGGGTTTCATGGAAAGCATTTCCATCAAACTGCATACATACGTGATCAACAGGTGCTGCCTACCCTCACTGGATAGTGAAGATGGAGATCAGATGATCAGAATGATAAGAATAAGCAAGGAGGAACTGTGACTGTCAACGAACCGACGAACCAACAACCTATTGTCTAACAAATATGCAGATGGATTGGGCATACACTGAGAAGACCATTCGGGGACATCACACATGAGGACAGACCGTCGAGTGGAAGCCAAATGAGAAACGACGAGTTGGCCGTCCGAGGATGACATGGAGGAGATGATGTGAGGAATAAATGAAAGCTTATAGAGAATCGTTGAACCTGATTAGGAAGGCTGTGTAGATGAGAGTGGAATAGAGGCGTTCTACTGAATTCCTATGTTTCACTAGGAACCCAAAGGACGAATAATGATGAGGAAGGTTAATTAGGCCGAAGTGGTCGATCCATGAGGATGCTTTTATATTCCTGGGATATTCAACAACATCGAGTGTCTCAGTGGATAATGTATTAGTGTTTGAAACGATCACTCTTTTGTCCGATCGTAGTGGGAGTCATATCACTCACTGGCGGTCGGGAAAACAGTAGGCAAATCTAGCTGATGAGTGGGGAATTAGATGAGTAGAAACTTTCCTATTGATTACTCGTTTGTGTAAAATTAATTATCATCACCTAATATATAAAATTAGCAATAATCTCAACGTGAAATTAACACTGTAAGGCCACATCACCTTTGAGTGCCAAAATCAAATATTCAATATTGACGGGAATCATTAACAAGAGGAAAATCGATGAATAACTCTCTTATCCAATGGGTAAGAAATAAAACCCAAATGTAATTTTAGGCAATATCAAGACATCTTTTAAAAGGAACGAACCTACATGACAACACATATGTTCCGGCTGACATGCATCTTACATTTGTCAAATGCAAGATAGCGATTCAAGACTGGTCTGCAACTATACATACCTCGGAGCGGACTGATTGTGGATGAAATCTCGGCTTGGAAAGAGAAACGCTGGATTGACATTTTTCCATTTGCTTTACCTGTGGCGTCAACTAGAGAGATATTCCATTTCTTGTTAAAAGACGACTATACTGTACTATAGTCCCTTCTCTCCTGTTATACGGCTGTAAGGCATAGTCGTGAAAAGTAGAAGATATGAAAACATTGTTAGGCTATGATCATATATGCTCACGTTTGATAGAATCATCGTGTGAATAACGTTGGGATCTGTTGAAGGTTACTTGGCAAAAAGGCAAATCGATGGATGAGGTTGTGCATCTTCATTGTCTAAGATGACTCGGATATGTACTGTGAATGCCAAGCCACCGCTTCCTTCGACATGCTATTTTTTTAGTGAAGGGTTGATTAGGATGCAAAAGGCTTCAGGGTGGTAAGATGAAGATCTGGCACCCGTCAATGAAGTCTCTAAGTGTTAGTTTGAGCCATGTACTGAGATTTAGACTACCTGGTGGTGGTATCACTTGCGTGCAAGATTTTGTCTGTCTGATGTGTTCACCACGAAACCAGAAGGTCTTGACTTTGATCCTAAGCCGCGAGGAGGGAGTAACATACTAGTAGGAAACACGTGCCCAGTGCATCCTGGTTTTCAGCGTCACTCCTAATGATGTTATTCTGTTGCACGTTGTTTATCTGTTGTTATATTTTGTCCCTTCGGTTCCTAGTGAAACATAGGGATTCAGTAGAACGCATCCATTCCACTCTCTTCTACACAGCCTCTTTATTCGGGCTCCACGATTCTCCATAAGCTTTCATTTATTCCTCACACCAGCGCCTCCATGTCATCCTCGGACGGCCAACTCGTCGTTTCTCATTTGGCTTCCACTCGACGGTCTGTCCTCATGTGTGATGTCCCCGAATGGTCTTCTCAGTGTATGCCCAATCCATCTGCATATTTGTTAGACAATAGGTTGTTGGTTCGTCGGTTCGTTGACAGTCACAGTTCCTCCTTGCTTATTCTTATCATTCTGATCATCTGATCTCCATCTTCACTATCCAGTGAGGGTAGGCAGCACCTGTTGATCACGTATGTATGCAGTTTGATGGAAATGCTTTCCATGAAACCCCAAGTCTCTCAACCATCACATGGAAGCACTGACTTATTTGACTGAATAAGTGTTGCAACTCCGAATATTGTTGACGCTTTATGTAGAGTGCATTGCAGTGTGTGGTGCAGTAGATGTCCACACTGATTTCAGATTGATGAAGGAAGGTGTGACTTGGTGTCTTTCGGATCCTGTGTGGTTATGACATCGTCATCTGTGCGTGGTGCTGCTGTCTGTAGTTGAAACGATGCTGCCTCCTATGTAGGTGGGGTGGGTAGGTTGGGTGAAAGAGACAACTTCCTTCAGGTTTCTCCCATTAATGTTGACTGGTGCTTGTTGTTGTTGTTGATGTTGTTGGTTGGGTATCTTCATCACTTGTGTCGTGTCAACGTTCACGTGAAGGAAATCCTGTGTTCGCTGCTGTGCCTCGCCCCTTCTGTTAACTTGTTAGTTTTCGCGTGTAGATGTTGGAGTTTACGTGAGAAGAGATGAGAGATAAATGATGATAGGTGAAGTCGGAATGTTGTAGGGTGTATTCGTCGGTGAAACAGCCAGTGTATGCCGATCTTCTCACAGGTGGTGACAGTTTGTTGCATGATCCAGTCGAGTCGAGTCGAGTTGAGTCGAGTGTAGTCGAATCGAGTCGAACACAATCAGGATTTGGTCATCATTTGTGATAGTAAGTGGCAATCTTGTGTTACCTATCAACCTGTGTTGTCTTGATTTCGAAGGCATTACTGAGCTTTCGACTGTGAATTACTTGGTATGTGGCATGTTCATATAGTTGATGAGCGAGGTTGATCAAGGTTTGTGGTACTATGTCTGTAGTGTTGAAGGAGAAGGTGGCAAATTACTTCTCGGTGTACGCTGTTTGAGGCCTTTTGAAAGTGGATAAAGTTGAGTGTCATTGTATCCTGTATTGTATGATGATGCGTAGAGTAGTGTTGCAATTTGATGTGCACATGATTTGTTGTTGCTGAGGTGATTCAGGTAGCGATTATGTTCTGGTGGTAATGCAGTTGTAGTCAGCGCATTTGTTAGTCTGTTGAGTATGATGTGGCCTTAATATTTTGCTTGTGGTAGAGGTGGGTGGATCATGTTTCTTTGTCTCTCAATCGATTGATACCTTTCATTCCTTCCAAATCTTTTGGAACATGGAATTATAAGTTTTCACACAGTTTAATGAGTTTTAACGTTTATTTAGAACCCTTTTTTTAATCTTCATATTGATTTTTATTCGACTGTCATGCAATGATCTACAGGTTAAGTTTCGCTCGACCTACCTAGATTCAAACAGCCGAATAAGTGCTATTTGCCATCACACAGTAGCTGTAGTCTTACTCCTAAGGTTTGTTTTTTGGACTTTGGATACGAAACGGAACCTCTGTGTGTGTGTGTGTTTATGTGGGTGGAGGGATGACACACCTATTACATTGTCTCTCTTATCTAGATTTTGAAGCACTACACAGAGTTGGCTAACTAAGTTAATCGAAGTGAATACATTTCAGGTTTATGTAATAGCCTATAAGCCACATCTGTTGTCTGAAGTCTTATACTGCCATCTAGTTGCCCAAATTGAAGTAAATGTAAGAAACTCCAACTCTTCACTCCATTGCTTGATAGTCGAGTAGTTAAGTTATTCATCTTCACTGAGGCATATTACACCATCAGTTATACACTTTCTTAATGAATCACTATTTTCTTTAAAAATTCATAGGGATTCATTTATTTTTATTATAGGTTATATATTCATCACGTTACTGACATTACTTGGTAAAATATCATAAACCTTAAAGTACTGAACAGCTGAAGAGTCTTACACTAGGACGAAACACCTTTCCGGTACTTATTTTCGCTTCTCTTTTGTTTTTATTTTTAGAGAAAATTATGGCAGAGTGTGTAGTTGTGCTTAGAAAATTACTACAAATGCAAGTAAGTGATTATCTTTCATTAATAGTAGTAGTAGTAGTATACTGTGCGTATACTAAATCTACAATACCGGACTGAAATTCACTCAGCAATCTTGTATGCATTCGTATATTAGTTATAAGCAGTGACCAGCAACTCTATTATATGTGTGAAGCTTAATGATTCTGCTATCTGACTGCTTCTGAAACTTTGATAAGTGGAGCGGGGTTCGAACCCATCACCTATTGGTTGAAAGTCATCTCTTTAAAGAAATTAACCATAGCTTCATACATGATTTATTGTCCATCATTTATATCGGACAGTTCTATAACTTTGAGAAATCGGTTATACTGTTCTAATTATCAAAGTATTTAAGCTTTAGAATACGTCGATGAGTGGTGAATACATCTGCGATGTTGTGATTAAGTTGTAGCCATTTCACCAATAATCCTCATTCATTGATTCTCAAAGCTTAATGAATGTAAGATTTGATCAACAGATGCATGTTATACTTCAGTTGATAGAGCAGAAGATTCAATAGTTCCTTGTTTGAATCCTTCAGAGGTGAAGATTTACAGTTTACCTTCAATCGTCACCCACTATCAAAACAGGGAAACAACAAACAACAATGGTATTGTAATTATAAGTAACAGTGGAATAATTATTTTATTTTATCACTGGTTATTTATCTCTTTAGTTCCTAGTGGAACATAGAGCTTCAGTAGCATGTCTCCATTCCATTCTGTTCTCTGCAATCTTTCCAACCTCGCTTCACGGCAGCCTACGAGCTCCATTTCTTTCTCACATCATCTCCTGCATGTCATCCTCGCCTCGGACGCCAAACTCGTCACTTCCCATCTGGGTTCCACTCGAGGGCCTGGCGTGTGATGTCCCCGAATGGTGTTCTCAGTGTATACCCAATCCATCTCCACTCTCTTCTTATGTATATTTGTTGAGCGATAGGTTCTTGCTCCGTTGGTTCGTTCCCAGAGTTCATCCTTGCTTATTCTTTCTGGCCGTCCATCTGATCTTCAGCAACGAGCCAGTGTAGGCAGTTGTTGATGATAGTGTGTAGTTTGTTGGAAATACTTTTCGTAACGCGCCAAGTCACTGAACTATCACATAGCAGCACTGACTTGACTGGATTACTGTTGAAAATCCGGATATTGTTCACGCTGTGATGAGTGTAGAAGATCTGCATACTGATTTCAGGTTGATGAATGCCTATCTTGCTGCATTTTTGGTCCTGGCTGGTTTCGACATCTTCGTCTGTGCCGCCGCCTGTGATTAAAACGATGCTGCCTAGATAGGTGAAAGAGGCTACTTCCTTTAAGTTTCTCCCGTTGATGGTGATTGGAGCTTGTTGTTGTTGGTGGCGTTGGTTGGGTATCGTCATCATCTCTGTCTTCTCTACGTTCACTTGAAACAAGTCACGTCTTCGCTGCCTAGTCTCATCTGTCAACTTGTTAGTTTTCGACTGTAGATCTTCAAGTTTGTGCAGCATTGACCATTGAAGATGAATCATCATGGGTGAAATCCAGATCTTCTAGACTCTTTTCATCGGTCCAGCTAGCGTATGCTCATCTTCTTGCTCCTCACTGTTTGCTGCATGATATAATCTACCATAATCAGGAATATCATCATCGGTGATTGTAGACAGCCTTTTCTTTCAAAGGCATCACTGAACTTTCCATTGTGGATCACTTGGCATGTAGCATCATATAGCGTACAACTGTTGAATGAGGTTGATAAATGTTTGCGGTATTCCGTAGTGTTGAAGCGATTGCCAGTGGAATAAGGGGTTTATTTAAACATACTAGAAAAGTAAATAATCTCATTAGGTCAAAGTTAATGTTGCCTAGGCAAGGTGAGATTGGTCATTATCCCCTACTCTATGCAGAAGTTAGGTTGATGTTGTTTAACAGCAATCAACTGAGAAAAATCAATGAGCACAAATTCTTGAATTCAATCGAACTAGTGCTCATTGATGACTTGCTTCTAGAGGTGATTCTTGAAGTTCCAATGACAAGTAAGCAGTGGGAAGGGTGGGGGGGTTGATGCTCGCGTTATGTCGTGAACTGACAGAAGTTGGAAATATGCACTATTCAATTCCCACCCAGTGGGCAGCTTCAGGAATGAACTTCAGCGATGCCACGGCTAACAATAGAGAGTGAAGTGGTTCAGTGTGTCGACCACTTCACTTACCTGGGAAGTAGGATCAACCCTGGTGGGTTAGTTGTGGATGAAATCTCTGCACGGATACAATTGGCCCGATTGACTTTTGCCAACTTACGCCACCTATGGTGCCATCGTGATATCCGATTGTCTACTAAGGGTCGCGTGTACTGCACATGCGCACATTCCGCTCTGTTCTACTCTGTAGTTGTGAAACATGACCATTGAAGGTAGAAGATATGAGAAGGCTTCAAGTGTTTGACCACCAATGCCTTCGCAGAATAGGCCGTATTCCGTGGTATCACCACACCACGTGAGTAACACAGATGTCAGGTGTAGAGTTTCAGGGAGAAGAGGTAAATCAGTTGACGAGATTATAAACCTTTATCGACTGAGATGGCTGTTTGAGACACGTGTTATGTATGCCTAGTCACCAGTTGGATCGTCGCACGTTGTTGGCCTAAGTAGGCTGAGGCTGGAAAAGGTCCGCCGAGGTGGTCAGACTAAAACATGGCATCAATGTATGAAGTCTCTGACTGTTTGTTTGAGCCATGTAGGACGATGCAGACTAGGTGGTTGGGGTTGGCTGGACAAGAGGAACCAGTGGTTCGAGACAGACTCTAGGGGATGTGGCTCACAACCGATGTCAGTGCCGCAGATGTATTCCCACACACAATATCCTCAACTTAACGATGATATATCGAGTCGCACCATTTTCTCATTCTTCCTTTCTTTCTTCTCATACTTTATATTTCTTTGACTTCATTCTCTTATCTTCATCATTCACCTCACTACCTTCCTACTTGATGTAGTGATATGAGGTATGACAACTCGGACGGTTCCACAGCAATGCCTGGTCCTAGATTGACATTGATTGATTGATTTGATTCTAGCAGCTCAATGGTTATATACTGACTATATAATGCGCAACTGTAATTTTGAGGAAATTGATATCATTCAAGTGGTTCTAACCCATATCGATTTGCATATGGTTAATTTTGGCACTTAACTAAGTAGTTTCTCAACTTCCAGCTAACTGTGGTGTTAATATAATTTCCATTGAAAATCATCTAGTCAAGATCATATGTTGTGATCTCTGATATAACAGTGTCGTGATTTATCGAAGTATCTTACTGTTGGATAAATTGAATACACTATACAATACATCTAGTCAGATTCAGATAATCTGAAGTAATTCGATTCTATGAGATAAATTCGTCTAGATAAAATACCACTGATAAGTTAGCGAAATGGCCTACTCGATGTTAATATCGCTGTCATCTATCTATCTGACTAGCTGGTTGCCAGGATGAAATCTAAAGATCAGGCTAATCGATCTTTGACTTCTCTTTTTTTTTTCTAGACAACTGATCACAAAGAAATTATTATGCATATTGCTCAGTTAGCGGATACAATAACAATTCCAACAGCTGTAGCATCAATTCTTTGGCTTCTAGGAGAATTTAGTCATCGTGTTCCAAAAATTGCTCCTGATATCCTACGTAAAATGGTTAAATCATTTTCACAACAAGAACCAGTTGTTAAATATCAGGTAAATAAATTCTTAATACTTTTCAGCTTTGATTTAACGTCCTTGTTATTGTTGCCTTTTTCAAAGTTCTCTTGTTTTTTTTACGGGAGAAACTGAAAGGAAGTAGCGTCCTGTACCTACCTACCTACCTACCTACCTACCTACCTACCTACCTACCTACCTACCTACCTACCTACCTACCTACCTACCTACCTACCTACCTACCTACCTACCTACCTACCTACCTACCTACCTACCTACCTACCTACCTACCTACCTACCTACCTACCTACCTACCTACCTACCTACCTACCTACCTACCTACCTACCTACCTACCTACCTACCTACCTACCTACCTACCTACCTACCTACCTACCTACCTACCTACCTACCTACCTACCTACCTACCTACCTACCTACCTACCTACCTACCTACCTACCTACCTACCTACCTACCTACCTACCTACCTACCTACCTACCTACCTACCTACCTACCTACCTACCTACCTACCTACCTACCTACCTACCTACCTACCTACCTACCTACCTACCTACCTACCTATCTACCTACCTACCCACCTACCTACCTACCTGCTTAGGAGGCAGCATCTTTTCAACTACAGGTGGGCGTCAAAGCCGGTCAGGATTGGAAAAGTAAGACAGGGGTTCATCCACCTGAAACCAGTGTGGAGATGTTCTGCACTCAGCATAAACCGTGAACAACACCCAGATTTTCAACACTAGTCTAGTCAAGTCAGTACAGCTATAGGGTTCAGAAAGTTGGCGCATTACGAGAGGCATTTCCAACAAACTATAGACATTCATGAACGACTGTCTACACTGGCTCCTTACTGAATCTGAGATGGCCAGGAAGAATAAGAAAGGAGGAATTCTGGGAAGAAACCAACGGAACAAGAAGCTATTGCTCAACAAATATGCATGAGAAGAGAGTTAAGATGGATTGAGCATGCACTGAGAAGTGCAATCGGGGATAACAGGCCTCCGGCCAGTCCTTCGAGGGTAATTGGAAGGGGAAACGGCGAGTTGGTCGTCCGAGGTGAGGATGACGTGAAAGAGATGGTGTGAGGAAAAAATGAGAGCTTGTGGGCAGTCATATTGAAGAAACAGAAGACAACTCGACGAGAGGATGTATTTAAAGAAGAATTGGAATGGTAGTGGTTACATATGGTACTCCTTGCACTAACGCAGCCATTTGCAAATGTCTTCGTTTCCTCTCTGTTCCTGTCTTGATTTGCTCTTGACCGGCTCTTCATACACTCTTATCAGCAGCATCCCCTGTAATACGCCCGTGTTGTCCCCTGCTTTGCTCTTGGCAGAAACCTTACCCATTGCCGTTTATTCCCTATGATTCCTTCCACTCTGTCGATATATACTACTTATATCCGTTGTTATCAGCAACGCCCACTACACTCATCCTCTCCTCTCAATTCCGGGGTCAAAAGATTGCAGAGAAGGGAGCGGAATGGAGACGTACTACTAACACCCTAAGTTCCACTAGGAACCCAAGTGATAAATAATAAGAATAATAATTTTATGAGGACTTTTTTCAGTCTTCTAACATTAAATCCTATCAAAAAGATGATAGATCATATTATATGCCATGAATAGTTTACTTCCCATTGGAAACCTAGTATGAATGTTCTCTGAACTCAAATAACTAACTAGAATTCAAACGATTTGAAAGATTTTTCTCTACGAACTGATTTATTCCGTATGCATCATTGTTGAATTCGATACCGAATGGTAGATCATAGTCATCTATGTGAAAATCATTCTTGATCAAAGTGAACTATCTAAAACTACTTATATGTGTCAGTTAGTAGTATATTTTTATTCGGATACCTACCAGTATAATGACACAGTTTTGCCATTTTATTTTAGATAATTAATTTAGCAGCGAAATTGTGTATTGTTAATCCACGTCAAACGCTGATTCTAGCTCAGTATGTTTTTAATTTGGCTAAATATGATACAAATTATGATATACGTGATAAAGCTCGTTTTCTAAGAGGATTATTATTCCCACAAATAACAACAAATGTAAGTTAAATATTGTTTTGATTAATACTTGTAATTTCCTGTTGCTAATACTGTTTAGAAAGGTTTGGAAGGAAGGAAAAGTACCTACAGATTGGAAAAAAGGCTATGTTGTCAAACTCCCAAACAACGGTGACCTAAGCCTTTGAAATAACTGGCACGGAATCATGCTGCTGTCCACCCTAAGCAAAAATCAAGCCGCATCATACTGGAGAGACTAATGGATGCTCTGGATTCAAAACTACGACCAGGACAGTCTATCTGGTTGGCTGGCTTTCTCGAAGAATAAATCATGTATGGATCTAATTGCAACTACTTTGAAAAGCCTTCGACATCGTCGATCGAGAAGTAATTTGCCAGCTGCTGCTTCAACACTACGGAGTACCACTAATCTTTATCAACCTTATTCAACAGTTGTGCATTATATGATTCTACATGCCGAGTGATCCACACTGGGGAAGCTCGGTGATGCCTTTGAAGTGAAGACGGGTTGACAGTAAGACAAGGCTGCCTACTATCACCAATGATGATCTTCCTGAGTATGGTCGACTGGATCATGCAGCGAACCGTGATCAGCGAGAAAATGGGTATACTCTGAGCTGATTAAAAGAGCCTAGAACATTTACATTTCACCGACGATGATGACGTATGTCTAATGTTTTGTCACACAAAATCGAAGATCTACAGTCGAAAACTAACAAGCTGACAGATGAGACTAATCAGCAAAAATGGGACTTTAAGTGAAGGTAGAGAAGACGGAGCAACAGCATGAACAAGAAGCACCAATCAACAATAACAGGAGAAACCTGAAGGAAGTAGTCTCTTCTACCTATTTAGGCAGCACTGTCTCAACTACAGGCGTCTCATATACAGATAAGGTCGTCGAAGCCACGATCGGTATGACAGCAACACAGGCCTTCATTAATCTGAAATCATTGTGGAGATCTGCACTTAGCACAAAGCGTGATCAAGATCCAGTTTTTCAACACTACCAATGTCAGTCAAGTCAGTGCTTGTATATGGTGGTTGAGAGAGTTTGCGCTTTAAGAAAGGCATTTCCAACAAACTGCAGACATTTATCAACATCTGCTGCCTACTCTCACTCGATACTGAAGCTGACATGGCCAGGAAGAATAAGCAAGGATGAACTCTGGGAAGAAACCAACGGGACAAGAAGCTATTGCTCAACAAATATGCATGAGAAGAGATTGGAGATGGATTGGGCATACACTGAGAAGACTTATTGGGGATATCACGCCTCTGGCCAGTCCCTCGAGTGGAATTCTAAGAGGAAACGAGGAGTTGGTCGTCCGAGGTGAGGGTGACGTGAAAGAGATGGTGTGAGGAAAAAATAAAAGCTTCCGGGCAGTCGTGGCGCCAGGTTTTGAATACTTCAGAGAAGGGAGTGGAATAGAGGCGTGCTACTGAAGCCATATGTTTCACTAGGAAGCCAAGGGAAAAATAATAATGATATATAATTTTCAAGTAGTCAAAGCATAAACTTGCCCAGTGGCTAATGGAATTATTGGATCCCATTAAACACCACTTCTGTAAGTACTCCTTAAAAGGTTCTTTTGAAGTAACCAGATACATTGAGGAGAATGTCAACATAAACAAGCAAATCAATGTGTTCATTTGAGATGAAACGGCTACTTTCACGTACAAGTAATATTAAATCGACTTTTGAAAGAGAATATTTCCGCCAGGACGATGACGTTGCTATGGGAAGTCGTTTAGGTGCCCTCCAAGCTGGCATATTTATGTCACACATGCAAAACTTATCCGAGAACCTAATAGACCAAACTAATTTGTATCGAAGATATGTTGATGATATCCTGATCGTTAATAAAAACTTAAATCAGTCTGATTCAATTCTAAACCGATTGAACGAAGTACAGAACAGCGCCAAAGTGCAAGATGATTGCTTTCCATCCTGATTATTATTTATCCTTTGGGTTCCTAATGTAATATGGGGCTTCAGTAGCACGTCGTCTCTAGTGCGCTCTCTTTTCTGCAGTCTTTTGAACCTGTCGCCACGACTACCCACAAGCTCTCATTTCTTCCTCGCACGATCTCCTGCATGTCACCTTCGCCTCGGACGCCAAACTCGTCACTTCCCATCTGGGTTCCACTCGAGGGCCTGGCGTGTGATGTCCCCGAATGGTCTTCTCAGTGTATGCCCAATCCATCTCCACTCTCTTCTTATGCATGTTTGTTGAGTGATAGGTTCTCGCTTCATTGGTTCGTTGCCAGCCAACCAGAGTTCCTCCTTGCTTATTCTTTCTGGCAATCCATCTGCACTTCAGTAATGAGCCAGTGTAGGCAGTTGTTGATAAATGTCTGTAGTTTGTTTGAAATGCCTTTCGTAACGCGCCAAGTCTCTGAGCCATATAGAAGCACTGACTTGACTGAGTTGGTGTTGAAAATCTGGATCTTGATCACGCTTTATGCTCAGTGTAAAAGATCTCCACACTGATTTCAGGCTGATGAACACCTGTCTCGCTTTTCCGATCCTGGTTTTAACGTTCTCATCTGTGCCACCTGTAGTTGAAACGATGCTGCCCTGCCTAGATAGGTGAAAGAGACTACTTCCTTTAAGTTTCTCCTGTTGATGGTGATTGGAGTTTCTTCTTGTTGTCGTTGGTTGGGTATCTTTATCACCTCCATCTTCTCTACATTCACTTGAAGTCCCGTCTTCCTTAGCTGCCCTCTCTCTACTGTTGACTCGTTAGTTTTCGCGTGTAGATCTTCGAGTTTGTGACATTAGACACAAGTCATCGACGAAATACAAATCCTCTAGGTTCTTCTCCTCGGTCCAGTGTATCCCCCTCTTCTCGCTCCTCACTGTTTGTTGCATGATCCAGTCTACTACAATCAGGAATATCATGGGTGATAGTAGGCGGGAGCCTTGTTTTACTCCTGTCTTTATTTCACGCGAAAGGCGTCACTGAGCTTTCCACTATGAATTACTTGGCATTTGTCGTCTTCATATAGCTGTTGAATGAGGTTGATAAGGGTTTGTGGTACTAAGTCTGTAGTGTTGAAGCAGTAACTGCCAAATTACTTCTCGGTCTACGCTGTTTGAGGCCTTCTCAAAGTCGATGAAGTTGAGGTACAGGTACAGTTGACTGCTATTCTATACTCTGTTCAATGATGATGCGAAGCGTTGCAATTTGGTCCGCACATGATTTGTACTTCCTGAATGCAGACTGCCTGTTACGATCGTAGTCTTTCCAGGATGATGTGGCATAATGTTTTGCTTGGGGTGGACAGGAGCGTGACTCCGCGCCAGTTCTTGCAAAGACTTAGCTTTTCATTCTTGGATATATTAATTAGTCGAAGGCAGAAGTTATCCATAAAACGATCTATCTACGGAAAACCTGCATGACATAGGCAATATCTGAGTTACCGTAGCTTGTGCCGAGTTCAGTACAAGCGAACGTTAGTAAGGTGCTTATTCAACAGAATTCAACGAATATGCACAGACTATACTTTAGAAGATGAAAGAGGAACACTGACTGATGTTCTGTTGGGAAATAACTATCCATTAACATTTATCATGCAGAACAAAATTATCAAAGCGCCAAAACTAGACCTTCAGTTTGTCCCGAAGAAGGATGTCTTCATCAATCATCCGTATAAAGATGACTCTCATAGTGCAATCTTTAAGTAGAGACTTAACGCTGCTGTTAGAAGGACTTACTATGCAGCCAGGGTTCGAGTAATAGAAACCACGAAGCCTGTATGTTCCGCCGAACCCCCACAGCATGTGAACGACAATTCAAATGTACGTGTGGTGACACATACATATAGAGGACTAATACATCTATACAAGTAAGGGTCTCAGAACATATTTCAAAGTGTCTTTAGAAATAAATTAAATTACCTGAACCCATAAATCTTGGTAGGAGACGTCCATGTTCTTCGATTGCCAAACATATCGTTGAGACGCGTCACAGAATTGATGTGGCTACTTCCTTTACAAAACATGTTGAGGAGGGACCCTTAAATTTGTTGAGGCCTCATGTATTAAAAAGTTGAAACCGTCTTTGTGTGTTCATAAACAATTTGTTCCATGGTAAATTCATCTCTGAAACCACGTTCCATGTAGTATTATTTCACTCTATTGATTTTCAGTGTTATTTGGCGTTTAATTCAAGCTTCTTACTTGACCTCTTTTTATTTTCTCACCCAGCTTATCTTCCAACCCAGTGTCCTACCATTTAAGCTATAAGATCCGACTGCTGAGCATCGGGCCGTAAACCCCGATGGTCGCTGGTTCGAATCCGGCCGCGATCTAAACTTTCATTTCAGTTTCAATCATCCCCCAGTATGAATACTAGTATATCAAACTATGAAGTGATAATCAATATGATGCTTCCCCTCTCTGATTTTAGTTAGATTTGGATTGAGATGAGAAGTTCTAACTGATGGGCAGCCAGGGTGAATGCAATCAAGTGGTGGTAACGGGTCATTAAAAGGAGCTTAAGCATATTTGAATGCTAGGCATAAATGTTTAGGTAGTGTATTCGTTGGCTTTCGGAAATTTTCAGTCATTAGTTGAGGAACAGATTAGTATTATGCCTTGACCCTCTCTTTCACCTGACATACATTGCTCGGATGGAGATGGTACACTTGGCGTTTGCCAACTTACGTCATGTCTGTCGAGATATCTGACTATTTTCAAGTCAGGGCTGCTATATGGTTTTGAAACTTGGCGTGTCACGTAAATCACTTCCAACAAACTACAGACATTCATCAACAGCTGCCGCCTACGCTCACTCGATACTGTAGATCAGATGTTCAGAAAGAATAAACAACAAGCAACTCTGGAAACGAACCAACGAAGTAAGAACCTGTCACCCAACAAATATTCATAAGAAGAGAGTGGAGATGGATTGAACATACACTGAGAAGACCGACTGGGGACATCACACGCCAGGCTAGGCCACCGAGTGAAATCCAAATGGGAAACGACTAGTTGGACGTCCGGGGAGGGGGTGACATGGATGAGATCGTGTGAGGAAAAAATGAAAGCTTGTGGGCAGTCATGATGCCAGGTTTTAAAAACTGCAGAGAAGAGAGTAGAATGGAGGCGTGCTATTGAAGCCCTATGATCCACTAGGAGCCTAAGAGAAGAATAATGATGATGAAATGACGAGTATACTGCACTACTGTCCATTCCACCCTGTTATATAGTTGTGAGACATGGCTATTAAAGGTAGAAGACCACAGGGCTCGCATTTAGTGGAAGCAATGTTGAAGTTAGGCGAAAGTTACTAGACAAAATAGGCAACTCGATTGATGAACCTTATGAGCCTTAGCCATACAAGATGGTGATTCGGATTTTGTTAGCAACCAGTCCATTCAGTGGGTTTGTGGCAACTCCTCCTCTTCAAGTCATTGAAATGGTCAGCTTATATAACTTTTTTATAAATCCACTTAATTTTGTTGAAAGATTAAAGAAAAATCAATCTTATCCTTCATTTATAAATTACAGCCAAATTTAAATGGAGATAATGTATCACATGGTAGTCATAAGACTCCAATGAAGTTGAATAGTACATTTCTATCGAAACATGCACGTAAAATCTGTTTGGCCAGTAAACCAGCACCAATAATCAAGTCACAATTTGACGGTAATTATAGTTATCCTATTTACTTTGATAGGCGTATTCTGTTGTTGTTGTTGTTGTATGTTTTTCTCAACAAACATTCTTTCTCTTCTAAACGGTATATTGTTCATCATAGAACTAAAATCATTTAGGAGACTCATTAAACACATAACATGATTGGATAATTCACCTAAGTAGGAGAATGTGGTGAGGTTGTTTAGATGAAATCTAGATGGCGAGTTTATGAATGCACTCTGTTGAGGAGTCTTACTCTGGGACGAAACACCTGTCCAGTGTTCTCAGATTTCCAATACTTTTCCAACTAATATCATCGTCTATACCGTTATTTTAGTCGGATTTCTCGTCAATCTATCGTTGTCATCTTCGACATTGTTAGATATACTACTGATACGCATCGTAATAAGTAGTTTTCACTACAGAAGTATTGAATGAAGAATAGGATACTTCATTATCTAAGGTATTTGAAAGTGAAGTATCCTGGTCAAAACTAGGATCGGAAAAGTAAGATCGGCCTCCCTTCATTAATCTGAAATCAGTGTAGAGATCTGCACTCAGCATAAAGCGTGAATATCATCCGGATTTTCAACACCAATTCACTCAAGTCAGTGCTGCTATGTGGTGGTTCAGAAACTTGGCGTTTCACGAAAAGCATTTGCAAGAAACTACAGACATTTATCAACATCTGCCACCCACGCTCGTCACCGAAGATCAGATGGCCAGAAAGAATAAGCAAGGAGGAACTCTGGCTGGCTGGCTGACAACGAACAAACGGAGCAAGAACCTATCATCCAATAAATATGCATGAGAAGAGAGTGTAGATGGATTGGGCATACACTGAGAAGGCCGATCGGTGACATCAAGCGTCAGGTACTGGAGTGGAACTCAGATGGAAAACGGTGAGTTGGGCGTCGGAGGGGAGGGTGACATGCAGGAGATCGTGTGAGGAAGAAATGAAGGGTAATGGGCAGTCATGGAGCGAGGTTGAAAGGATTGCAGAGAAGGAGGTGGAATGGAGACATGTTACCGAGACCCTTTGTTCCAATCATTTACATAACAAATTTGACCTTTTATATCTAATAAAGGTAAGTCTGTGTGATGTAGACAGCTTGTAAGAGAAAGGCGTATTTATAAACTCCAAGGTTGAAAAAAGGTGAGCTTTCAACATCTCATGATCTTGTACAAGCACCTTCATCAATAAGTAAAATCTGCTATACCAGTTACTGTATGTTTCAATATTCAGTGGAATATATCCAAACAGGAGCATATGAAGAGAATAAAATGAGACGATCTACAACCGATCTGACACATCGACTAAAGTCATCCTTAGGCGAGTCGAAGTGGTCTAATTTATTTCCTAAAACTAACGATCCTATCAGAATTTATGGTACTATTAAGGTTCATAAACCAGGTTATCCCATTTCACCCTTAGTTGACTTCAGAAATATCCCCAATGTATGAACTAGCAAGGTGCTTAGAATCGATATTATATCCTAGTAGGAACCGTTCAAATTCCACACTAGTAAACTCTTACGAGTTGAATCCAAGACTTAATGACCCAGATGTAGAAAAAGATGAAGAAATGGTTAGTCATGATGTAACAAGTCTGTATACTAAGATACCAATCAATATGCCATTGGAGACAGCCAGAAATCAACTAAATATTAACTCAGAACTTACTCACAGAACTAAGATATCGGTTGATGAGATCATATTAGGCTTACAGTCAACCCTGACCTCCACCATGTTGAAGTTTCAGGACAAGATATATAGACAAACAGAAGGAGTAGCAATGGGATCACCAATATCCCCAATTGTAGTAAATATATTTATGAATAGTTGGGAAAACATGACGTGACAAACGTCAGTCAGAATGGCCGAATAAGATCAATAATCTAGATATGAACCTGCTGTATTGCAATGCATAACGTACAACCACACAATAGGATGGGTGGGATGAAACCACTGTAAGTGGTAAGTCCAATATAATTAGATGGAGAGATAAACAGAGATTGATTACTGAATCGCCCTCCATCAAATTACCTAACACCCAGTCAAAATATGTATCATAGATATGACGCTACACACTTATATCAGAGATGTGGAAGGTTTTTCTACCAATAAAAGCAAACAGTATTACGTAGGTGGTGGGACTATAAAAAGTAGATGTCGAAAATTGTGTATGAATTGCATTGATATGATATGGAAACATCATCATCATCATCAAGTAAATAGGTAATACTATATCACTCAATCAATCTCTACATAGGGCCAGGCATCAATGTGTAACCGTCCGAGTTGCCACACTTCATATCACTACATCAAGTAGAAAGGTAGTGAGGTGAAGGAAGAAGATAAGAGAATGCAATCAAAAGAAAAATAAAGTACTCGAAAAGCGAAACAAAGAATGAGAAAGTGGTGAGATTCGGTATAGAGTCATTAAGATGAGGATAATGTGTGTGGGTATACATCTACGCCACTGACATCGGTTCTCAGCCATGTCATCACTTAGAGTCTGTCTCCAACCGCCGGTTCCTGTTGTCCCGCCAACCCCAACCACCTATTCTGCATCGTCCTACATGGCTCAAACCAACAGTCAGAGACTACATACATTGATGCCATGTTTTAGTCTGGCCACCTCGGCGGGCCCTTTTCCAGCCTGAACCTACTTCGGCCAACAACGTGCGACGAGGCAACCGATGACCAGGCATACGTAATAAGGGTCCCAACCATCTCAATCGATGAAGGTTCATAACCTCGTCAACTGATTTACCTCTTCTCCCTGAAACCCTACACTTGACATCTGTGTTAATTATGTGGTGTGGTGACACCACGGAATACGTCCTATACTGGGAAGGCAATGGTGGTCAAACATTTGAAGCCTTCTCATACCTTCTACCTTCAATGGTAGTGTTTCACAACTATAGAGTAGAACAGAGCGGAATGTGCGCATGCGCAGTACACGCGACCTTTAATAGACAAATGGATATCACGGCGGCGCCATAGTTGGCGTAAGTTGGCAAAAGTCAATCGAGCAGAGATTTCAGTGGCCACTGAGCCACCATTTGACGACTGATCCTACTTCCCAGGTAAGTGAAGTAGGTAGTCGATACACTCAACCACTGTGTGCTGTATATCAAATATGGAATTACCTTCATCAATAAATAAAATCTCTACCAGTTACCGCGTGTTTCAATTCTCAGTGACATAAATCTGACTGCACTATTCATGTATCCAAAAATAAATAAAAAAGACTGAGTGAAGAAACAATAATCTCTACAAGCAATCTGATGTTGTCGCTATACAGTCACACTTTGGCCAGCTCTTAACAATTTTTTTCCCTCAAAACTACAGAATGATGTGCTGAATGAAACTATTAGCCGTTTAGAATTACATTGTCATTACATGGATTATACCTTTATTGTTCTCAAAAGTGATATTCATAACAATGCTGTTCTCAATAAATTCAATAGTGTTCATCCGGCAATGAAGTTCACAATAGAAGAGGAGAAAAATTACACTATCCCCATTTCTTGATGTTCTACTGATAGGAAGGTTAGATAGAACTCTGAAACGAAGTGTATATACAAGGTCGATACACGCACTTCTTTACTGCTGAACCCCACCAATACAAAAGGAACCTAGCGAAATGTTTACCATATTGTGCCACAGTAATTTGCTCAGATAATGATATAAAGAAAGAGTTCGCCACCACATGTGATCTACTTAGTAGAAATGGGTATCCAGCGAAGTTTGTAACTAAGGATATGTATACTACAAAGGTGAAGACAAGAATGCCAACAGTTCCTGAGAAGCAAATCTTCTTAAACCTGGAATACGAAGGTGGCATTGTTAGTCAGATCATAACACAACACATAAAAAGAGTCTTACAGAAAGTATTCCTAGCCGGTAAATTATGTCCTATCTTCTACAACCGCTGAACGATTCTACGTGCAAGAAATACAGACAAACTGTCTGATTCTATCACTTCCATGTGCATTTATTACTTCCTCTGCTCCTGTAGAATTATTTACATTCAGCGTACAATGAGTCAGGTCCATCGTCGAATTTCGAAGCATCACTCATCATAGTTGAGCATGAGGCAAATTAGAACAATAAAGACTTCCATACTTACACACACAGTTAACACGGGATATCAAGTGGATACTAGAAAAGCTGTCAGAATTATTCATCATATTCCAATCTACTTACCACATAGATTACTCACTCGCTTACTTCACATACCACAGGTGATTACAATCCACACCTTCACAAACAAACCGAAGCTAATCTTTGTATTCTAACGAAGTTTGTTCGACTACCTTTCATTATTGTGGCTGTCGGCACAACATGATGTAACTTCTAGTATAACTTTGTACATCTCTTCCCACCCGCGCTTCCTCTTGTTTCTATCAGTACTCACTTGTTTTCTTATCATTATGTAGTCGCTTATTGTTAATGACTGGATACTCACTCATCAACAATCACTCCATTCACCTAACCCTAACCTGCTTCATATTACAAATTGTTTATCAACCGTCGATGACCACGACTGTTGGGTTGGTATTTTGATTGGATTATCAATCTGTAGATAAATGAATGTAGAGGAGAAGACGAAGACGTAATTAAAGAGGAGTAGTATAATAATTATTATTTCATTATTTGTCCCTTGGGTTCCTAGTGGAACATACCGCTTCAGTAGCATGCCTCCACTCGACTCTCTTCTCTCCAGTCTTTTGAACCTCGCTCCAAGATTGCCCAGAAGCTCTCATTTCTTCCTCGCAAGATCTCCTTCATGTCACTCTAGCCTCGGATGCCCAACTCGCCATTTCCCATCTGGGTTCCACTCGATGGCCTGGTTTGGCGCGTGATGTCCCCGAATAGTCTTCTCAGTGCATGCACAATCCATATCCACTTCCTTCCAGTGCATATTTGTTGAGCGATAGGTTCTTGCTACATTGGTTCGTTGCGGCCAGCCATAGTTCCTTGTTGCTGATTCTTCCTGGCCATCTGAGCTTCAGTGACGAGAGTAGGCAGTTGAAAAGGAATGAACATCTCTTTATTTAATCAGTCTTGTTTTTAAATGTCTAAATTAGAATAAGATAAGCTTCCATGAGATTTATAATGCCTTCATAGTAAATTAGATGGCTATCTGAATTGAAATATATTCAGTATTCCATCAGACAGATGAAATCAACGTAAAATCTTTGATACACTTCACACGAGGATACAGAGAACAAGGTGAATATAAAAAGGAGACTAATATCAAAGTAGACAATTTGAAGATAAAAAGTATTAGTGAGAATGTAATCATTGTATGACTTATTTTATGTCATGCCACTCATAGTCCTCAACCACTGATTCCTAACATCTCACCAATGGGAACAAAACATCAGTCTACACCTTCATACATGAAACTTTAAGATTCCTTCGATGCTCTTGGGGACATCATGATAGCCAGTCCAAAACAGTGTGTTCGTGGTTGTCGTCTGGGTGAAAATATCGGAGTAGATTATTGACTCTCCAGTTGACAGTTAGGAGAGTCCACTTCCATTCCATCTGCTTTCGCAGACTCCTAGCACTTCTATACCATACCTCCTCATCTGTTTTGGAATCTGGGCAGCCTTTGTTGGTTCATACATGGTGCGGACACTCCACGTCCCCATCGTTACTTTCGCTTTCATCGAGAGAAGACACATCGTCAGACTGTCTTCCCTAATGATTTCACCAACCGGCATCCTTTCGTCTCCCCGATCCCAGCGAGGAATAAGTTTGTTATTATTTTTTGTCTTTTCTTTGTTCCTTGGAGTTTCTTTTGCGATTGGATTAGTTTTACGTGGTAGGGTTGCTCGTCGTATGCCCAAACTTCCCTCTTTATCCGGGCTTAGGACCGGCTAGTAACTGGTGAACGAGTTAACCTGGCGAGGTTATACTCAGTACATTCAGGTTTAAATATCGAATAAAACCAATTTGATCATAGGAAAACATGACAGACGGTTGCAGTGAAAAAAACTGTTTCTTTGCGACGAAATATTTATCATATTTATACATTCGTGACCAAGAGAAGATAGACAATGTTTAGAGGGATCATATTTCCGTTCAACGCGTTAGCATTCTCACCTAGCTGAACAATATCGTCTATTCATTGTAAGTAAATCAATCTGTATGAAGTCAAATGTATCCAAGGTTATGTCCATTAGTATGTGTATAACGAAGTTGAGTAGGAACGGTGAGAATGGACTTCGATATAAGACCAGGCATTACTGCGTAATCGTCCAAGTTGCCACACCTCATTTCGTATCCACAGATCAAATACTCAAGGAATAAAATGAAAGATGAAAACGGAAAGAAAAATCAGTGAAAGGAAATAGAAAGTAGATGAAGAGAGTAGAAGGAAGAATAAGGAGATAGATGATGAGATTCAGTATAGCAATTAATATGAGGATAACGTGTGTATATATCTGCACCACTGACGTTGGTTCTGAGCCATATCACCTAGAATCAGTCTCCAACCGTCTAGTTTAGGTTGCCTTACATAGATCAAACGAATAGTCAACGACTTCATACATTGATGTCATGTTTTAGTCTGACTTCTTCGAGCCTTTTTCCTGCCTGAACCTATTTCGACCAACTTTGTTTTAGTTATAATATTCATGATGGATAATGTTTACTAGTAAAACTCAGTATGTTCGTTTTATCCTCCCTGGGGTTTGTCAGCTGCTTTCACTTACATCCCAATGACCGATGTTGTTGATAGTAAGACACGGTTATACAATCGATCAGCTGAAACGCCTGAGCATCATCCACTAAACCAGCGAGTCACGATAACTATTTCTTATGTGACGGGTATAGATTTTATGTTTTTTAACGGCTGATGAGTCTGATATAAGACGAAGCATGCGTCTTAGATTCCACTTTCATCCATTATCCATGATTATTACTTTTATTAATCTCTTCTTTTCTCTATTTTAGATAGATCCAATTTTCGTCTAGGTACATTATCGCATATACTACATCGTCGTATATCAGGTTATCGAGATTTATCCGATTGGCCAATTATCCCACCAGATCCATGGTCTCGTGTTATTGTCACTTCAACTGCATCTAAGCTAAATGATAATGAGTCTTTGAATACAAATTCACCGAAATCCAATAAAATGTATCATAACAAAAGTATATTTAATGATGAAAATCAGCTACGACAACAACATAAAAAGACTGATCGTTTTGGAAATGTTGCATTGAATGATTTTTTCTCTGAAACAGAAGATGAAGAAGACGATGAAGAGAATGATGATGAATTAGTTGATGAAGATCAAGAAAAAAGTGGAAAAGTGAAAGATACTTTATCAGTGAGTTTGTCATTTTTCATAAATTGCTCAACAGTTTCATTTTTTCAACATGAAACTTTGCACACAAGTCTATCAGTTCATCTATCCAGATCAATCTAGGACCAGGCATTACTGCATAATGGTCCGAGTTGCAACACTTCATATCACTACATCAAGTAAAAAGACAGTCAGGCGGAAGATGAAGATAAGAGAATGCAGTCAAAAGAGATATAAAGTACGAAAAGAGAGAAAGGAAGAATGACAAAATGGTGAGATTCGGTATAGTCTCGTTAAGATGAGTATGTGCGGGGATACATATGCGCCACTGACGTCGGTTGTGAGCCATATCACCTAGAATCTCCAACCACTACTGGTTCGTCTTGTTCCGCCAACCCCAACCACCTAGTCTGTGGGACAAGAGGAATCAGTGGTTGGAGACTTTAGGTGATGTGGCTTAGAACCGATGTCAATGTCAATGTCAAGAAATGAATACATTTGTACCACTGTGACTCTTCTTCAGCAATATCGCTTAGAGTCCTCAAACTCCTCATATAGCTAGGAACGACAATCAGGTATTGCCTTGAAGCATCTTCCAATACATGTCCGAACCGCTTTGGAAAGTGAAGATTAACAGCTTGTCAATCGACTTACCTGTCTTGCTTTCGTCTGACCTCAACATTTCTATTACATGATGATTCCACCAAACGCGAGCAATGCTACGAAGGCACACTGGATCAGAGCGCTGTATTCGACTCATGTCTTCTAATGACGTAACAGGCGTATAAGAGGACACAACGGATTTCAGCGTAATATACTCGTTCTTTTGACAGATAGTAAGATACTTTGACAGTCACACCAGAGATGACGCCAGTTGAGAAACGTTCAATACGCCTGTTTCCGTGTGAGATTTCGTCGCTAACCGGCTTGTCAGGCTGGCTGATGCAACTCCCAATGAAGTTAGAAAATCCAATCCCCTTATCATATCGTACGAACTGCAAATGAAGATATATGCGTAGTTCCACCACATAAATACCTGATTTCAGATACACGTCTAAAATTCTTCCCAATTCCAGTCACTAATCGAGATAATAACACATTAAAGAAAGGTTCCTCGCGATGCTAATCAATTTACACAGAAAAGGCAAAACAAACAATCTTGATCCAACCACTGTCTTACATCATCACATTGCATGTAAGCATGATACAAATGCCAAGAATGTCTGTCAGGTATCTCTTTCTACACTACCATTCAACATTTGACTCTCTTCAAAGATCTCTTCTACTCGACCAGCTAATCACCAGACATACTCAATCCTCGATAATCATCTGACTGCATTTACATTTCTCTGTAAGATAACATAATCAGATGTTGAAAGAGGGAAGAGCTCCACCTCACTACTCATTGACTCTGGTGTTTCCCATCGCACCATACTCTCTCACAGTCTTCTCTCTTTTTATCTCGCTATCATTTACACTCTTCACCTAGTATAAATTTCATCAAGTATACTGATGACCTGACAGTTTCCACACTTGTCTCCTCCATCTACAACATGCTTGCTTTAAAATGCAAAGTTAACCTCAGTAAACAATCTCAAAGGCAGTTAGTTAAATTCATAACATCTAAATAACACCAATCTGTATACTCATTTAATCAGTTTGCTTTATTATTAGTATTATTATTTGTCCCTTGGGTTCTTAATGGAACATAGGGCTTCAGTAGCACGTCTCCAATGCACTCTGTTCTTCGAAATCTTTTGAACCTCTCGCCACAACTGCCTACAAGCTCTCATTTCCTCCTCACACGATCTCCTCCATGTCTCCGTCACCCCAGTCGTCCAACTCGTCGCTTCCCATCGGGTGTCCACTCGAGTACCTGGCCTGACGCACCATTTCCCCAGTCGGCCTTCTCAGTTCATGCCCAATCCATCTCCACTCTCTTCTTATGCATATTTGTTGAGCGATAGGTTCTTGCTTCGTTGGTTCGTTTCCAGCCAGCCAGAGTTCCTTCTTGCTTATTCTTTCTGGCAATCCATCTGATCTTCAGTAATGAGCCAGTGTAGGCAGTTGTTGATAAATGTCTGTAGTTTGTTTGAAATGACTTTCGTAACGAGCCAAGTCTCTGAGCCATACAGAAGCACTGATTTGACTTTGGTGTCTAAAATCCGGATCTTGTTCCACATGCTGAGTGCAGAACATATCCACACTGGTTTCAGGCTAATGAATGCCTGTCTTCCTGTCTTTTCGATACTGACTTTGACATCCTCGTCTGTGCCACCTGTAGTTGAAACGATGCTGCTCTGCGTAGATAGGTGAAAGAGGGTACTTCCTTTAATTTTCTCCTGTTGGTCGTGATTGGAGCTTTCTGTTGTTGTTAGTTGGGTATCATCATCACATGTGTCTTCTCTATATTCACTTGAAGTGCCGTCTTCGTTGCCTCTTCTGCTTTAGACAACAACAAAAACCATAACCTGATTACTTCATTCATTCGCGACACTTTCTTCCTTATACACGATACAGTGTTGTAAAGTTTTAATATGTTTTAATATGCCAACTGTTTATATGAGTTAAACTGTGAATCCACAACACTTCCAATCAGAAGGTGTTTAGTGGTTCACCATAACTTCTTCTGACAATCATCAGACTTCTATGTAATATAGAATAGTCTCTTCTTTTCTTTTCACCAACCCCTGAAGGAGTAAAGTAGAATAATAGAGGAGAATAGGTAAGATTCATAAGTTCAACGAACACAAGATGAGAGATTGAGTTATACGAGTTACTACTCTGGGATTCGTGATGTAGGAGGTAAAGTGGAAGATTCATTTGTAAATTATTTAGACATGGAGGATGAGGAAGGTTTTGAAGAAAAACAACACACTTCGAGATAATTCACACATATAACATTCTTCAATACATAGGATAGTATACGAAGGTCATGTTCCTATCTGAAACTAAAGTTTATAGTATGACATTTTGAAGAATTAGGTAGAAGATCATTCATGAAAGCCATCGTCCGGAAGTAGATAAGTAATGGTTTAGTTGTGAACAATCTGATGAAGAGGAGACAGGTATGGAAACTGTCAGGTCATCAGTATACTTGATGAAATTTATACTAGGTGAAGAGTGTAAATGATAGCGAGATAAAAAGAGAGAAGACTGTGAGAGAGTATGGTGCGATGGGAAACACCAGAGTCAATGAGTAGTGAGGTGGAGCTCTTCCCTCTTTCAACATCTGATTATGTTATCTTACAGAGAAATGTAAATGCAGTCAGATGATTATCGAGGATTGAGTATGTCTGGTGATTAGCTGGTCGAGTAGAAGAGATCTTTGAAGAGAGTCAAATGTTGAATGGTAGTGTAGAAAGAGATACCTGACAGACATTCTTGGCATTTGTATCATGCTTACATGCAATGTGATGATGTAAGACAGTGGTTGGATCAAGATTGTTTGTTTTGCCTTTTCTGTGTAAATTGATTAGCATCGCGAGGAACCTTTCTTTAGTGTGTTATTATCTCGATCAGTGACTGGAATTGGGAAGAATTTCAGACGTGTATCTGAAGTCAGGTATTTATGTGGTGGAACTATGCATATACCTTCATTTGCAGTTTGTACGATATGATAAGGGGATTGGATTTGTTTACCTTCTCGTTTCATACTGAATACATTAGGACGCGTATATTGAACACGATGACGGCTGTTCATGGATCGACGAAAACTTCTTAGGAAATAGAGGACTTACCTTTAACTGTCGAATAGTAGCTTTATTCCACAAAAACTACACATTTTAAATAAACAAAATCTCTCTAGGTTAAAGAGAATATAAGGTATTTTGATTGGTTGACTGAAGTATGAAATCATCCAATTAGATTCAACGTAGTCGTATAGTTAGTATCAATTGACATTTGAAGGTCAAACATTTCTGTCGTCTAGGTCATTGACTTAAAATGTTGATTTCCATTTTATCCGCTACCGATTGTAAATCTGAGTTTTTATGGATATGATAAGGATGAGTTAAAATTACTGGTATTCTGATTTTGTTTTATCTTACTTCTTAGTTAAATACTTCACCTATACTTTCCATGAGGAATGTATATATCCTGTGTATAGTTTAAGAATCTAGACAATATCATACACTAGTTTTATTGCTTGTGTTATACCGTCGTTGATTGGACCGAATTGATTGGTCTCTATTGGCACATGTGCTCCTTTGCGTATGCCTCGATATACCTGTGTAGTTCAAGTTATAATAAAGATGGATAGTGGCTGGCAGTTGGATGCAGGATGCGCATTTCGTCACACAAGAAGTGGCTATCGTTGCTCGGTGAAATAGTGGAGAACTCTCTGGCGTTTGAAGCAATCGTTCCGAAATCCTTATGGGAACAACATCACCCACTGGGAGGCAGGTACATTCAGCTGACGAGTCGCAAATAAGATAATATGCGCATCATGGATTACACTGCTAGCCACTATCCATCTTTATTATCATCCACTGTTTATATCGTGTAGTTAGTGTGTAGTAGCACTTTTTTTTAGCTATTCTATGACTTGGCGACCTGACTATAAACCACACTTAATGTGTGTGGTTGTGCAAACCAAAGTTGATGAACTGGGTCATATTTATACATGTGATTGTCCCCTAAGGCCAACAACTCACTTCTCCGTACTTTTTTTTTATTCATGAACTGATTATATGCAAAATGCGATACGAAACCCTTCATTGCTCCTAACCAATACGATTTACGATGCAGCAATAATCTCTCAACAACACGATATTCATCTGAAACCGGAAGAAGACATTGAGATCGAGAAATTCACTCATATATACATTATATATATATATATATATGGCCTTGAGATGACCTTGACCTAGAATAACTTCCTTCCAGTGCATATTTGTTGAGCGACAGGTTCTAGCTTCGTTGGTTCGTTGCCAGCCAGTTGCTTGTTGGTTATTTTTTCTGGCCATCTGATGTCTATGTTGAGTAATGAGCGAGCGTAGGCAATTGTTGGTGAATATGTGTAGTTTGTTGTAAGAGCTTTTTGTGACACGCGAAGTTTGTGAAGCATGACATGGGAGGAGTGACTTGAGTGAATTGGTGTTGAAAATCCTGATGTCGTTTACGTTTTATGCTGAGTGCAGAAGATCTCCACACTGGTTTCAGGTCAATGAAGGCCTGTCTTGGTATGTTTTCGATCGTGGATTTGACATCCTCATCTGTGCCACCTGTAGTTGAAACGATTCTTCCGAGGTAGGTGAATGAAAGAGACAACTACCTTTGGTTCCTTCCATTGATGGTGATTGGTGCTTGTTGTTACTGTTTTTGTTGGTTAGGTATCTTCATCACCTCCATCTTCTCTACATTCACTAGAAGTCACGTTTACGCTGCTTATTCTATCCACTTGTTAGTTTTCGCTTGTAGATCTTCGATTTTGTGTAACATTGATCAGCAAAATTGAAATCTTCTAGGGTCTTTTCATCTATCGAACAGCGTATGCCCATCTTATCGCTCTTCACGGTTTACTTTATGATCCAGTCCAATCGACTACAATCAGATAGGTGATAGTAGATGGAAACGTTGTCTTACTCCTTTCTGTTTTCACTTTATAAAGGTGCTATTCCCAAAAATATAACATGTTATATTTGATTAATTTCATTCATTCATATGTTTAATGCTTTCATTATAGTCATTCTATACTGATCATGATACTTCGAATGAAGAATTTACTAGTGATGAAAATAATGAACAAAATAATATCGATGATAATGAAGATGATGAATTTGATTCCGATCTTGATATTCAATATTTACTTCAATCAAAACAATCTACAGAAGTGATAATTTCAAAAGATATTCAATCCTCATCATCATTATTATTATTACCAAGTAATAGTTTGATTGGCAATCAAAGTGATTCTATCCCATATAATAATGATACTTTGAATACTAGGAATAATATTTCTGTCTCAGAAAAATTACAAATTTCAATGAAAGAAAATTTAATTAGTTGGTTAAATACTCAATCTTCATCAGCTAGTGAATATGATGATGATGATGATGATGATGAATCGATCGAATATTCGGTAAGTTCATCATCTATCTACATTAATATTACTGAGTAACAATCGAAGTTACCGCTACACCTTATATCAACTACATTGAATAAAAGATTAGTGAAATACTAGATGAAGATAAGAAAATTCAGTCCAAAAAGAATGTTAAGATGAGGATAATGTGTATGGGGAGATTATATATATGCGTTACTGACATCGGTTCTCAGCCATATGATCACCTAGAGTCTCTCTTATCCCACCGACACCAACTACCCAGTTTGCATCGCTCCACATGACTAAAATCAACAGTTAGAGACTTCATACATTGATGCTGTGTTTTAGTTTGGCTACTCGAGCATTTTTTTTCCAGCCTGAACTTACATCGGCTAACATTGTGTGACGAAGTGATCGGTGACTAGCTAAACATAGTACATGTCACAGCTAAGCATCACAGTCGATGAAGGTTCATAACCTCGTCAACTGATTTACCTCCTCTCCTTGAAACTCTACACCTGACATCTGTTTTACTCACGTGGTGTGGTGACACCACGGAATACGCCCTATACTGCGAAGTCAACAGTGGTCAAACACTCGAAGGCTTCTAATGTCTTCCACCTTCAATAGTCATGTTTCACAGCCATACAACAGAACAGAGCAAGCTACTGTTCAGTATATGTGACCCTTAATAGACAATTGGATATCACACGTGGCCTGGGTTGGCAAAAGTCAACCGAACCTTTTGTATTCATCCAGAGTAGTTAAGTCATTCGTTATTTTTCTCTTAAAATTGCACAATAAGAAGATGTGATTTGTCTGAACTGTGTATTGTGTATTCTCACAAGACATTTCATGAACAATCTGATCTCAAACGCACATTTATCCTTAGAACTTACTTATACTAAACGGTTACAAGAGAAATGATTATCGTTCAATGAAAGCTAATTGTACTGTTATTATTTGTCCGATGTGTTCTTAGTGGAACATAGGGCTTCAGTAGCACGTTGACATTTTATACCCTTCTTTGGCTCCACGATTGCTCAGTAGCTTTCATTTCTTCCTCACACTATCTCCTCCATGTTACGTTCGCCTCGGATACCTCAACTCTTCGTTTCCCCTTTGGATTCCACTCGATGACCTGATCTGCTGCGTGATGTATCCAAATGGTCTTCTCAGTGTATATCCAATTTAATCCATCTCCAAAGTCTTCTGCATATTTGTTGGATGATGGATTGTTGTTTCGTTTCCAGGCCAGAATCCCTCCTTGCTTATTCTTTCTAACCATCTGATCTTCAGTATCAAGTGAGCGTAGGCAGCAGCTGTTAATGACGTATGTTTGAAGTTTGTTAGAAATGCTTTTTTGTGACATGTTGAGCCTCAACCATCCCATAGAAGCACTGACTTACTTGACTGAATTAGTGTTGAAAATCTTGATGTTGTTCCACATGCTGAATGGAGAACGGCAGATTTCCACACTGGTTTCAGATTAATAAAGGAAGCCTTGTCTTATAGTCTTCCCGATGCTGATTACGACTTCTTCATCTGAGCCTATGCCGTCCGTAGTTGAAATGATGCTGCCTAGGTAGGTTGCTGAAAGTGACTGAGGAGAGAAGGTTTAATGAAATGAAAAATTGTTTTTGAAGCCATAAAATAACTGACTTAAACCTTCTAAGGACTAATGCTTCAATATACTTTAAAATACATCCTCAACATGAGTTTAAATGACGTTTATACATTCATTTTATGCCTCCGTATCACTTAGATTCGACAACTGTATTTATCATGATCAGACATCTTTGTGTTCAGTTACACTATTAATTTGTATTCGCTTATTGTGTTGATGCCTTTCAGTTACGAACCTATCGTTCACACACAGACTATGTAGCAGTCGTGTCTCATAGTTTATTTGGTAGTGGAACACCGGACTAGAAACTTCTGATCTTGCCACCGGCGAAAATTTTCATTCCACCATCAATCATCACTTAGGATGTATAAAACTTTCATCCTAGCGAAGATGTTATTGTATAATACATCTGTAATCATGTTTATCAAGCTTATTTCTTTGTGGTGTTCTCATAAAACATCCTTCTTTTTCTGTATTTTCTGTGGGTTCTCTCACTTTCCCTGCATTCCAGAATGATATCGAAGGTAAAATACTCCATGAAGATAACGAGAAGTCACCGGGTTCAGTTCCTCGTGTTGGTCATTCAACAGATACGCTCGTCAGTGTGTCACATTCTGAGGGTAAGTATGAAAAAATTGATTTTACGTGAAAATTCCTACTTCAGACATCTAAAAAATAAACAATGTGAACGAGGAAAGATTTTCTACTTTTTTCATGTACCACCTCGTCGATTAGTTATTATTTATTTGTCCTATGGGTTCCTAGTGGAACATAGGGCTTCAGTAACACGTCGACATTTCATTCTCTTCTCTACAGTCATTCTTTTCTTACACAATCACTTCCATATCACCCTCAGACACCCAGCTTGTCGTTTTCCTTTACACTTCCGCTCGACGGTCTGACCTGACCCATGATATCGCCAAACGGTCTTCTCTGCAGATGTCCAATTCAATCCATCTCCTTTTTCTTCTGCATATTTGTTCTGTGATAGGTTCTTGGTTGGTTAGTTGGTTCGTTGACAGCCACAGTTCCTCCTTGCTTATTCTTATCATTCTGGTTATCTGATCTCCATCTTCACTATCCAGTGAGGGTAGGCAGCACCTGTTGATCACGTATGTCTGCAGTTTGATGGAAATGCTTTCCATGAAACCCCAAGTCTCTCAATCATCACATGGAAGCACTGACTTATTTGACTGAATAAGTGTTGAAACTCCGAATGTTGTTGACGCTTTATGTAGAGTGCATTGCAGTGTGTGGTGCAGTAGATCTCCACACTGATTTCAGATTGATGAAGGGAGGTGTGACTTGGTGTCTTTCGGATCCTGTGTGGTTATGACATCGTCATCTGTGCGTGGTGCTGCTGTCTGTAGTTGAAACGATGCTGCCTCCTATGTAGGTGGGGTGGGTAGGTTGGGTGAAAGAGACAACTTCCTTCAGGTTTCTCCCATTAATGTTGATTGGTGCTTGTTGTTGATGTTGTTGGTTGTGTATCTTCATCACTTGTGTCTTGTCAACGTTCACGTGAAGGAAGTCCTGTGTTCGCTGCTGTGCCTCGCCTCTTCTGTTAACTTGTTAGTTTTCGCGTGTAGATGTTGGAGTTTACATGAGAAGAGATGAGATGAGAGATAAATGATGATAGGTGAAGTTGAAATGTTGTAGGGTGTATTCGTCGGTGAAACAGCCAGTGTATGGCGATCTTCTCCTAGGTGGTCGCAGTTTGTTGCATGATCCAATCGAGTCGAATCGAGTCGAACACAATGAGGATATGTTCATCATCGGTGATAGTAAACGTCAACCTTGTCCTACTCTTATGTATACATATTCAAAGTACTTAGTTTACTTGGAAATCAATTTTACAAGTGAATACTCACTCACCTTTTGGTCGTGACATTAATCGAAGCAGACCACCTAAACAGACATCTGATATTTGTGGGACAGTACTAGCACATCGTCCAATTGCTTGAATTGTTGCTGTAACAAACTCTTCATCATAACTGTTCACATAATGCTATTTAGAAAGAGGAAAGGATATAATTACCGATTTGTTATTACATTAGAACCATGTTATAAAGTGGATACATTCATGACATTAGATTATAGACCAGTAAGAAATATATTGACACAATACAACTGGTCCAAGCAAAATATTAAACTATGTCATTCTTGAGAGACTAAAAGATGCACTGGATTCAAAACTACGACTGGAACAGGCAGTCTGGATTCAGGAAGTACAAATCATGTGAGGACCGAATTGCAACGCTATGCTGTACATCGTCATGGAACAGAGTATAGAATGGAAGTCAACTGTACCTGTATCTCAACTTCATCGATTTCGGAAAGTCCTCCGACAGCGTAGACCGAGAAGTAATTTTCCAGCTTCTGCTTCATTACTACAGAGTTAGTAACACAAACCTTGATCAACCTCGTTCAACAACTATATGAAGATGTCACATGTCAAGTAGTTGACAATGAGAAGCTCAGTGATGCCTTCGAAGTGAAGTGAAGACAGGAGTAAGACAAGGCTGCCACCTACTGTCACCCATGATATTCCTGATTGTGTTCGACTGGATCATGCAACAAACAGTGAGGAGCGAGAAGAGAGAGATACGCTGGATCGGGGAAAAGACACTAGAGCATGTGGATTTCGCTGATGACTTGTGTTTAATTTCGCACAAACTCAAAGATCTACAGGTGAAAACAAACAAGTTGACAGAAGAGATGAGGCAGCGAAGACGAGACTTCAAGTGAAGGTAGAGAAGACACAAGGGTTGTTAATAACCAGCGAACAACAGCATGAAAAACAAGAGGCACCAATCACCATGAAGGGGAGAAATTGCGCCAGGTACTGGAGTGGAACTCAGATGGGAAACGGCGAGTTGGGCGTCCGAGGTGAGGATGACATGGAGGAGATGATGTAAGCAGGAAGTGAGATCCAGGTTCAAAAGATTGCAGGGAACAGGGTGCAATCGAGACGTGCTACTGAAGCCTTATGTTCCACTAGGAACCCAAGGGAAAATAATAATAAATGTACAACTATTGGAACACTAGTAATATGCGTCACCTTCGCCGACGAGAAAGTTTAACGATTCCTACAGCCAGCTAGGTAGAAAGCACTTCTTTAAAAGAATACTCTCCAGTGGGAATGTGGTTAACCGTGGTAAGTAATTGACTTGAAGGCGATGAATCTTTAGTTCAACATCTCACTCCCCTTACTTTATTTATCATAGACTAGACAGTAGTTCTTCCTCGCGAATACATCGACTGTACCATGAGTCGACTCGCAAAAAACGTGCCCACCAACATTATCCAATTTGGCTGGCTAAGATAAAAGTGGAAATGTATCTTACATTCAATAACAGACCATCTTGTGAACTCAAGTCACTCATTTAAAATCCTCTACATGGTTCGATCAAACCATTCGAAGAGAATATGATCAAGGGCAATTTGGGTATAGATGAAGCACTAGATATTCAGAAGTTCAAACTAATGTTATGTGTCCAACCCTTATCATTAGCTATAGTCATCATAAAGCCTTGACTGTCATAGATTGATCCTATATTACGTAATTATACATGTATTTCTAATAATCCCTTGATTATTTTCCCCATTCTCAACTCAAATGTGTATTAACTAACTTCCTTTAGCTATTCAATATAGTTTACCCCCTAACTGGATACAATTCTGAAATATTCTGTTCACTGTAAGATATATTCATATATGGGTTGATAAGTGGGTTCCATCATTTCCTGAATAGTCATACTCTTGACAGTCTGTTGCTTTCCATTATGGTACTTTTCTTTAATTTTGTCTACCAACTTGTAGACCAATAGATCATAATGATGTTAATAATCCTCGACTGTATAAGATGGGATTAGATAAGATAACTGAATAATTAAAACAGTATACAAAGGAGATATTTAGTAGAATATTATTCCATGATAAAAAGGAGGTGGTAACCCGAGGTTCAACCAGCCTGTTAACTTGATTTATTAGCAATCCACATATCTTCGTTGATGAATTTACATTTCCATTCGACCATCTAAGATAGCAGCCTGAGTTAAGTTGATTAATATTTCTACTGAGTGATTATTGAATGTGAAATTAAATTTTGAACCATCGCCAGGATTCGAAGCAGCGACCACTGGGTCTTCGGCTTGATGTTCTACCAATTGAGCTGTGAGGTCCGACTACTGATTGGATTTTTATTTCACTTCAATCAGTGTCAGCTTTCTGTCCGACTACCATGTGAATTGGTGACGCGTTACTACCACTTGACCTCAGTCACTCTGGCTGCCTAGTCACAATATCTCATACAAATCTAAATTTGATTGACTGTATAATGAGAAGGGGAGCATCATTTCGATTCTCTGAGTGAGGTGGCAGCCGTGGTTTAGCAGACTAGTATTGATAACTGAGTGATGATTGAAGGTGAAATGAAAGTTTCGACCGCGGTGGTGTTCGAACCAGCGACCACCTTGTTTCCAGATGTCGTAGTTCAGTTATTAGAGCATCGGACCGGAAACCTGGTGGTCGCTTATTCGAATCAGCCTGCCGTTGATATTTTCATTTCACCTCCAATCATCATCACCATCATCATCATAAATACACTAGTCTGCCAAACCACGACTTGCTCACATAACCAAAACAATAATCAGTATGATGCTCTCCCACTCGTTCTAATTCAGTTAGAAATGGATTGGGATGAGAAATCCTGACTAGGCAGGCAGGGTGAACTTATATTTATTGAACACTTAGACTGTCAAACAGTCACTTTCTCAACCTCATCTGGTTATGCGCAATAAGCGGATGTTACTAAAATGCCTGATATTTCACACATCATCGTGAGAGTATCGATGGGATATTGATTCTATTCGAGGTTCTAGAACACAGGAGCGCTTACTGACGTCTGACACTGCATGCATTTGTAGATCTGTAGATGGTATTCGACTCTGTCAATGGAGAGATCTTATGACATTGTCTCTCACTGAAAGGAGTGCCAGTTAAGTACAGTATTTCAACACCCGTGAGCGTTTTATAAGTGATGTTGAAGTATCAGCTGTGCTGTGTACGTGAAGTGATGCTCGTCTGTGAGGTCTAATTGATCCCTTTCTACCTGATTGTGTCAACAGCGTACTTGTGATGAACTGTTTCTATCTCATCGTTTGACTTTACAAGGATTGACCTTCTTAAAGGAGATTCCTTAGTTCGCTAGTCATCCGATAAGGTGAAGAATCGTCTGAACACTTTAAGTGACAATTTGAGAATGTTTGGAATACGTTTCTCTCCATTCAAGTACAGAATTTTGGTCCATAACTGGTCTTTCTATAATAGGAATCAGTAACCAACAAAATATCGGTTCAAATACAAAACGTTTCCTTGATCTTCACCAGTGTTTCACGATTTACGGTGTTCGTGTGATATCGGACGTTCTACTAAATGTTGAGTGTATTGTATAGCAGTTCATCCCGTTCTAACATATTGACGTGAAATATAGTTATTTATTAGAGGTTGAGGATATTTTAAGTTCCTGTGTATTCTGTCATCGATGCCTTCATTTTTTTGCACCCTGTATCTTCGGATCAAGACTTTAGTAGTTTATATGATAGGCTTAGATGAAACTTCGTCGACTAAAATGGACTTCAGGCTGGTAAAAAGTGGTCATAATAAATAAACTGTGGGATCAGTCTATATGTTCACTGACTTTTCATCTGTACAGTGAGTGAGTGAGTGAGTGAGTGAGTGAGTGAGTGAGTGAGTGAGTGAGTGAGTGAGTGAGTGAGTGAGTGAGTGAGTGAGTGAGTGAGTGAGTGAGTGAGTGAGTGAGTGAGTGAGTGAGTGAGTGAGTGAGTGAGTGAGTGAGTGAGTGAGTGAGTGAGTAAGTGAGTGAGTGAGTGAGTGAGTGAGTGAGTGAGTGAGTGAGTGAGTGAGTGAGTGAGTGAGTGAGTGAGTGAGTGAGTGAGTGACTATTGTTAACTGTATACAACATCCAATTTAACTGGTGTTTCTCTTCAATATTTAGGCTGTTTTGAAATCCCTGGCGCAAAAACTGATGTTGTCTCACCGTCTAGTGTTCTTAATCTACCAAAGGATTCAACTAATGAGTGTGTTGATTATCCCATTCAGGTAAACAAGGCTTTTTAAAGAATTTATTACCATTTTGAAGTTTGTGAGAATTTATTTATTTATTTCAAAGTAATACTTGTCATGGACTGATTGTTCTCTGCTGGGACGAAACATCTTTCCAATGCTTCTTCAAATCTATGATGAATACTACTCATCCCCGTCGCCAACTGAATTGGCCGAGTGAATAAGAAGAAATACCCGAACAGTACTAACCCAATGAGAAACTTGAACTTGATACAAATAGCGACTATTCTCCTTCGTCACCCTGCATACTCCACTGAACCGCGGAAATATCCAAAAACAAAGACTCGCCTACAAATGTATGGAAGATACTTTCTTCGACAAAAACAGGTTTCATGAACATAAAATAACCTCATGATCAAAAGTTAATTAGCCTATTTTGATTGGTCAACTGTGAGATAAAATTGACCAATAAGGTTTTTCCTGACCACACAGCAGCATGAAAGAAACATTGAAATTTAAACTTATACCTTAGTGACTGTTGACTTTAAATGTTCATTTCGTATGTCATTACTTTAAATTATTGGCTTGAAAGATATATAGTTGACAATTCCTGATATTGTATCCCGTTTCACTTCACTATGAATTTGTCTATAATAACCTTATATGAGGCAGAATGTTGGCGTACTGAGGTAAGAGTATGCAAAAAACACATGACTTTCTTGTCTATGTAAAAATCAATTTTTATGCTCCAGGTGTGTTGGAGTCTGTTTAACATAATTGTGTATTATCGGTTTGAGAAATGGAGAGCAATGTCTTGCTTGTTTAGACTTTCAGCTTTCAACTAGTATGCATTATAGGTTTCAGTTATATGCTATCGACTGAGTTTTAAATAGTCACAAAATTTCATCAGCTTACAAGTAACAAGTGTAGTTCATTGTTTCCTGCAGACGTTTTGTAATTATTCTTATTTGTCCGCTGGGTTCCTAATGGAACATACGACTTCAGTAGTATGTCTCTATTCCACTCTCTGCTTTGCAATCTTTTCAACCTGGCAACATGACTGCCCACAAGCTCTCATTTCTTCCTCATACACCAACTCCTTGTTTCCTCTTAGGATTCCACTCGAGGGAGTGGTCTGGTGCATGATGTCCCTAGTTGGCCTTCTCAGTGTGTGCCCAATCCATCTCCACTTCCTTCCAGTTCATATTTGTTGAGTGATAGGTTCTTGCTTCGTTGGTTCGTTGCCAGCCAGCCAGTTGGCCGGCCAGCTAGAGTTGCTTGTTGGTTATTGTTTCTGGCCATCTGATGTCTATCTTGAGTAATGAGCGAGCGTAGGCAATTGTTGGTGAATATGTGTAGTTTGTTGCAAATGTTTTTCGTGACATGTGATGCATGAAGCATGACATGGGAGGAGTGACTTGAGTGAATTGGTGTTGAGAATCTGGATGTCGTTTACGTTTTATGCTGAGTGCAGAAGATCTCCACACTGGTTTCAGGTCAATGAAGGCCTGTCTTGGTATGTTTTCGATCATGGATTTGACGTCCTGATCTGTGCCTATGCCGGCTGTAGTTGAAAGGATACTGCCCTGTCTATATAGGTGAAAGAGACTACTTCGTGTAGATTCCTGCCGTTGATGGTGATTGGAGTTTGTTGTTGTTGGTTGGTTGGTTATCTTGATCATCTCTGTCTTGTCTATATTCACTTGAAGTTCCGTCTTTCTTGGCTGCCTTGCTCTGCCCTTCCCTGTTCTGCCCTGCCTCTTCTGTCAATTAGTTATTTTTCCCCAGATAGATCTTCGAGTTTGTGTGACATTAGATACAAGTCATCGACGAAATACAAATCTTGTAGGATGTTTTCCTCAGTCGAGTGTATCGCCCTGTTCTCGCTGCTCACTGTTTGCTGCATGATCCAGTCCACCAAAATCAGGATAGTAGGTGGCAGCCTTGTTTTACTCCTGTCTTCACTTCACTTGAAAGATATCACTGAGCTTCCTATTGTGTTTTGAATAAGTTGGCATGTGGCATCTTCATATAGTTGTTGAATGAGATTGATGAAGGTTTGTGGTACTAAAACCGTAGTGTTGAAGCAGTAGTTGCCAAATTACTTCTCGGTGCATAAGTTGCACAAAACGTATATGAATTGGACTAGATCCATGACTCTTTCTCTCTTTACAGGGACTATAAGATAAATCAAGGAAGTGAAGATGCTTTTTGTATAGTCTCCATTTCTCAGACGATATTAACGCGCTTAACGCGAACTGGCCAATGATAGAATTTCGAATGACTCGTGTCAAAACTCTCAGACAATATGAGTCTCCTCGAATATCCAGTGTTAATAAATAACCGTGAGATTTAGGCTTCCTGCTGGATTGTCTGCAACGGGAACAACAATTGAAGCGGGGTGAGGGGATATTTGAACCTTGATTTTGTGACCTGTTTTTATGATATGTTTAGCTATAGATGATGTAAGGAGTCTCCCATCAGCGTTTATCACGGTTTCGCAATCCGTTTGCTTTTCAAGACATTTAGGTACATGTTCTCCCACCGTCGACTGCGTAGGTCGATTATTCCTCCTTATGTATGTGTAACCATACACACAGTGGGATATGACGTAATCATTGATACAGCGTTTAGGTTTTTGGTGAAGGATGTGTTTTGTTTTCTCCACAATGATAAGATTTGCCGCGTAATATGTTTTCTTAATGGCTGATGTCCGTCTACGTTTTAAACTGATACTATTCAACTCCATTTTGCCTGATAGAGTGATATGGACCCTTTTCTTAGGAACCGTGTATAGAGTTGGCTTCAGTGCTACTTGGTCTCTACAACACGGTTTATAAACTTCATCGAATATCCATTTTCTATAGGTGCTTTGGTTAGTAATTTGATGTCTTCATCCGTCGTGTCTGATATACCGATACGATAGATCCTATTAAACATGCATTTTACTAGACGTCGCTCATATTGAATTGGACAAAACCTATGGAAGTTGAGGTATTGTCTTGTGTATGTAGGCTTTCTGTAAACTGAACCATCTTCTTGTCCACTCAGGAGTATGTCAAAGAATGGCAAATGAAGGAAGAATAGATAGATTTCACCAGCGAATAGTCTCTTTCGGCGGTTTCAATTTCATAGTTTTACAATCGCAAGAAAAAGGGGGGTAGAGCAGACTGAAAACTAAGACCATAAAAGGAGAAAAGACTGAACAGTCTTCTTTTGTGTAAACAGATCAGGCTTCTTCATTTCGATAATTAGAGCTTCGGCAGTGCAGAGTATATGAAGCGAAACAGCCTTTAGGAGGTTTATTTTCACCTTATAGATCACTTTGAACGAGAAGGTTGTTGAGATAGCGTGATTCGTGTTCACGATGTGTTCAATTATAGCACTGCTTATCATTCCATTGTTGCCTCTTTGCAACTACGTGGGATAGTATTCTTAAGCCTTTTGGATAACAGTCGCACCGAACGACCTGGCTCCACAAGAGCAGGTGAATTGATATATGCACACAGAACTGTTCAGATGTGAAAGTTTCTCCTTTGAGATGCTAGATATCATTGGGTAGCAAAAGAATACTAATCTCTGCGGTGATGCAAAGAATATTCTCCTTAGAGCATTTGATATCCACCATTTTAGAGTCTCAGCTGTAGTATCACCTTTGAAATTTCGATTCATATAGTGTGTCCCTTTTGGCACAATGGTTAAGTACTGTATGCTTGGCTGTTACATGTCTTCTGTCGCCAAAATATACTTCATTATATGAAATATATCCCTTCAGGATATATGAAAAAAGAACAAGAAAGTGTTTCAGCGAAGAGTAGCTAGTGTCAATCATTAAAATAAAAAAAAACCGATGGATAATGAATATGAATCAGAATAAGTTTGAACAAGAAGTTTTGAAACTGAATTGTGATCAGGGTTAGGACATAGCAACAAGACTGTATAGTAAATTTCCTAACAAGTGAATAGTGTTGAAATAGAAAGATGAAAAGGGGGAGTAGAGGATTACCATGGTCTACTTTATCAACCATTCTGTTATGGAAAGAAAATTGTACCAATCTATTGAATATGATGATGGTTTGGTTTAAGATGAAAGTCAATGATAGCTGAGCTGATATTATGAACTTGTGTGTGTGTGTGTTTGTGTGTGAAGAAGGAGATGAAACTTGAGAATGAGAAGTAATTCATATCACAAAGTATTCGGATGTGTAGTTGTAATTTGAATCAAGAGTCGAAATTCACTAATCCGCAAGTATACATTCGGTGGAGTAATAAGCAATGAACAACTACGCCTATTGTGTGTCTGTGTGTGTGTGTTTATGTGGAGACTAAGGATACTACTACTCTACCTGACTGGTGTTGAAACCGTCGGTAGGTGGAGTGGGATGGGAACCCATGATGTTGTTTTTCAAACTGAATTATCAACTGATTATCTGGATGTTTTATTCCTTCGAATTTCTTTATTGTATAATAAGTTAAGCGCGATGACCACTTCACTTCACTTAGCTGAGAAGTTGGATCAACCTTGGTGATGGTCGACGAAGTCTCTGTAAGGAGGATGGAAAAGACTCACTCTATTGTCCAGCGTGATATTCGATTGTCGATTAAGGGTTAAGAGTTTACTTGGCTGAAGTTCACTCTATTCTACTTTATACAAGTTGATTCTCGGCTATATTAACCAGAATCTTTAATCACTAATCATGGAGATAGTAGTCTTTTTCCAACCAAAATACCCATCACATCGCCTCATAATCTGCCCAACTCTACAATCTTCTATCTCATCACATGTGTATAAGGTTTGTAATTATGAATCTTGACCTTTTTCGACTTATTGTTAATCCTTGACATCGAATGTTCATTTATTTCTGTATATGTAAAGTATAATTGGTCATCGTCACTACTACTACTACCACTACTACTGCTACTAATATGTTCCCCTTTGAATTGAAGGCGCTGTGTCTGCACCTGATGAAAGGTGGTGAAGCAAAATGTGCACTTATCTTATTCTGTAAATATCTTTGTTGTTGCAGTGTTGGAATGAATGTGTTAAGGCAACTTCAATGTATAGATTAATGAATTAGGTTTATAATGGTTAAATACGTGATCTGGTCAACTCCAACTCTACTACTAAATTCGCCCAATTTTATTCATTCCACCTATATCCTCACATGTTCTATGACAAGAATAATTTCCTTTATATTTTTCACTGAATTATACATTTTCTTTTGTTATTCGGTGATGATGATTGAGCTACGTCATGGCTGAATTGCTAGACCATCGAATCGCCGACCCTATGGTCACTGGTTCGAACCCAACTGCGATCCAAATTTTCATTTCACTTTCAATCATCATCGAATAACAATACTAGTCTGTTGAAAACATATCTGCTATCTCACATTCCTCTTTTCCTTCTTTCATTCTAAACTATCTTTTTACATTAGAGGTTAGTGTAGTGTTGCAGGGGATAAGTGAACAGAGAGTTGAGATGATCAGTTAGCAATATCCTTTAAACTGAATATGTTCAACTGTATCCATCTACTTGTAAAACCTAACATTTTTCAATGGACTATTGTTGATTGATACCTTTTGTTTTAGTTATCCATGATATTCACTCATATTGTTTGACAAGGCTACTACTTTATTATTGATTAAGTGAATTCACTGATAATCAAGCATTTTCACTGCGCCAGGTCCTGGAACTTAGGCACGCTTACAGACGCCCGACAATAACTGTATTTCTCGACCTGAAGGCCGCGGCATTCGACTCCGTTGACCGACAAGTCTTATGCCAATGTATCTCACTGAAAGGCGTGCCGAGTAACTACACCACCTTGTTGAAGGCTCTCTACTCGAACACTTGTAGACGTGTTAGAGCCGATGGTGAGTTGTCCAGGAAGTTGTACTCATCGAGTGGTGTCAGTCAAGGCTGCCTACTCTCTCCATTCTTATTCAATTTCATCATAGATATTCCCATGGAGGTCTCCCTCTCATCACCTAATTACACAGAGGTTGATCTAATCGCAGAAGAATTTTCGTTAGACCTAGGATACTCAAAAGACATAGTCCTGTTAGATGAAGACGCTGACAAGATGCAGAGTCTTCTGGACACTTTGAGTGGCGATATGGGAATGTTTGGGATGTGTTCCTCACCACCCAAATGCAAACTGATACTCCGGGATTTGTATTCAACGGTGCCTCGGCTAGCAATAGTGTTGTGGATGAATGTGTTGACCATTTCACTCACTTGGGAAGTGGGATTAGCCCTGCTCTGATGGCTCATTGGCCGATGAAATTTCTGCACGAATACAAAAGGCTTGGCTGCCTTCCGCCAACTTACGCCACCTTTGACACCGCCGTGATATCCGTTTGTCTATTAAGGGTCGCGTGTACTGCACAGCAGTTCACTCCGTTCTACTGCATGGCTGTGAAACATGACCGTTGAAGGTGGAAGACATGAGAAGGTTTCAGATGTTTGACCACCAATGCCTTCGTAGTATAGGCCGTATTCCGTGGTGTCACCATGCCATATGATTAGCGCAGAAGTCAATCAGGTGTAGAGTTTTAGGGAGAAGAGGTAAATCAGTTGATGAGGTCATAAACCTTCATCGATTTAGATGGTTAGGACACGTACTATGTATGTCTAGTAACCGATTGCTTCGTCCCACAGTGTTGGCCGATATAGGTTTCGGCTGGGAAAAGGCTCAAGGTGGCCAGACTAAAACATGGCATCAATGTATGAAGTCTTCGACTGTTGGTTTGAGCCATGTGGAGTGGCGATGCAGACTAGGTGGTTGGGGTCCACTGAACAACAGGAACTAGTGGTGGTTGGAGACTCTAGGTGATGACATGGCTGGGAGCCGATGTCAGTGGCTCAGATTTATCCCGAAACACATTATCCTCATCTTAACGACGCTATATCGAATCTCACCACCTTCTCATTTGTTTTTTGTTCTTCTCGTACTTTACATTCCTTTTGATTGCATTCTCTTATCTTCATCCTTCACCCCCACTACCTTTCTAATTGATGTACTGATATGAGGTGTGGCGGCAAATTGGACCGTTACGCAGTAATGCCTCGTGCTATGTTGATATTGATGATGATGATGAAGTTAGTTGGTAACATGTAACGAAAGATGATTACTATGGTCTATTTTATCAACCATTGTGATATGGAAAGAAAATTGTACCAATCTATTGAATATAATGATGGTTTGGTTTAAGATGAAAGTCAATGATAGCTGAGCTGATATTATAAACTTGTCTGTGTGTTTTATGTGAAGTTGAATGAAGCTTAATGATCGACGAAGTCTCTATATGGATATTAAAGGACTCGATTGACTTTTGGCACCTTACACCGCTGTAATATTCTCTCTGTTCCACTCTACAATTGTAAAGCATATCAAACAATTAAAGGTAATAAATGTCGAGGCCTCATATCGTTTCTTTGTTCATCTATTCTATTTTTTGTTCTAATTTATCCTAATTTGCTTCTTCTTTGTGTTCAATAGATTATTCATAGTCCATTACTGTGGTATAATCTAACTAATCCTAATGTAAATGATTTAACTGGTCAATTACAATATACTCGTCTAGTATGGAATAATCATTCCAAGCTAATTATAATCAGTTTAAAGTTGGTCAATCAGAATACTTCTACAACACTTACAAATATTCATTTTGATTTAATGAATACAGTTATGGGAAGATTACTAGTTGATGCTAAACGAATTCAAGCTTTCGAACCGATAGGTAAGTTAACCAATAGAATAAAATTTATATGAATGTTTACTATGATTGGAGAACTATCTCCCTTGGATTCGTAATGGAACATATGGCTTCAGTAGTATGTCTCTATTCCACTCTCTACTTTGCAATCTTTTCAACCTGTCTCCATGACTGCCCACAAGCTCTCATTTCTTCCTCACACATCAACTCGTCGTTTCCTCTTAGGATTCCACTCGAGGGAGTGGCCTGGTGCATGATGTCCCCGAATGGTCTTCTCAGTGTATGCCCAATCCATCTCCACTTCCTTCCAGTTCATATTTGTTGAGTGATAGGTTCTTGCTTCGTTGGTTTGTTACCAGCCAGCCAGCTAGAGTTGCTTGTTGGTTATTGTTTCTGGCCATCTGATATCCATGTTGAGTAATGAGCGAGCGTAGGCGATTGTTGGTGAATATGTGTAGTTTGTTGTAAGAGCTTTTTGTGACACGTGAAGTTTCTGAAGCATGACATGGGAGGAGTGACTTGAGTGAATTGGTGTTGAGAATCCTGATGTCGTTTACGTTTTATGCTGAGTGCAGAAGATCTCGACAATGAATGCAGATTAATGAACGGAGGGCTGTCTTGCTATGTTTTCGATCATGCCACCTGTAGTTGAAAGGATGCTACCCTGTCTATATAGGTGAAAGAGACTACTTCGTGTAGGTTTCTGCCGTTGATGGTGATTGGAGTTTGTTGTTGTTGGTTGGTTGGTTATGTTGATCATCTCTGTCTTGTCTATATTCACTTGAAGTTCCGTCTTTCTTGGCTGCCTTGCTCTGCCCTTCCCTGTTCTGCCCTGCCTCTTCTGTCAATTAGTTATTTTTCCCCAGATAGATCTTCGAGTTTGTGTGACATTAGATACAAGTCATCGACGAAATACAAATCTTGTAGGATGTTTTCCGCAGTCGAGTGTATCGCCCTGTTCTCGCTGCTCACTGTTTGCTGCATGATCCAGTCCATTACAATCAGGAATATCATGTGTGATAGTAGGTGGCAGCCTTATTTTACTCCTGTCTTCACTTCACTTGGAAGGTGTCACTGAGCTTTGCATTGTGTTTTGAATAAGTTGGCATGTGGCTTCTTCATATAGTTGTTGAATGAGATTGATGAAGGTTTGTGGTACTAAAGCCGTAGTGTTGAAGCAGCAGTTGCCAAATTACTTCTCGGTCTACGCTGTCGAAGGCTTTTTCAAAGTCGACGAAGTTGAGGTGCAGATACAGTTGACTGCAATTCTGTACTCTGTGTTATGATGATGCGAAGCGTTGCAAGTTGATCGGCACAGGATTTGCACTTCATGAGTACTTCCATACTACTGTTGTACATCTATGAAATGTGGCTCTTAATAGTAGAAGAGATGAAGCGGTAACATGTTTCGATCATAAGTACCTTCAATAGAGCAATATTGAGATCACACATAGGGTACTACGGAAGAAAGTCGATTTGATGATGTTGCGAACCTAAGTCGATAATGGTGGAGTCAGTATGTGCTACCGTTGTCAAGCAACCAACCACCTGCCTCGAATTGCAAATTTGAGATAAGTTATATTAGATTGGTAAAAGTTTGAGAGTGATAGATATAACACTAGTGTATAAAGTTGCATGTATGAAGGTGTAGACTGGTGTTTTGTTCCCATTGGTGAGATGTTAGGAATCAGTGGTTGAGGACTATGAGTGGCATGATATAAAATAAGTCACACAATGATTAGTCTCCTTTTTATATTCACCTTGCAAACGGATTGAACAAAGAGAAAACGCTTAGAGTATACTTCTTCTATGAAAAACGTAGGAATAATTTTATGTTAAACACCTTCTGATATACACAAATATCAAGCAATGCTGATCTCAACTCATTGTACATTGTTTTATGATATTTTTCAGTGAAATCCTAATCATTGTATGGGTTGATCATAGAGTTATGTATTGATTGGTCACGGGGGTGCAACCAATTTCATGTTATCTAATCCTGAGTGCAGACCAAAACCTATCGATCATATTTTGCACTGTGGTAACCAAGCTAAGAAGCTCAACACCGCGGTGCACATTATTAGATATTAGTTGGTTGGAGACGGTCGGCATGAAGCCCTGAACCTAGGTATTGTGCTTTTCGCACTCGTCAGCAAGGCGTATCTGCAACCTCAACGGAATTGATGTCCCACCTGAGATTCCAACCTCGCGCCACCCTGTGTTGTAGTCAGCGACTTTACCACTGAGTTATTCGGGCCGAGATTGACCTCCTGTAGAATTGGCTTACATGTATTGATTGGTCATAGGAGTGCAACCGATTGCATGTTGTCTAGTGATGAGTGCACACCAATCAGTCATATTTGCAATTTGGCAACCAAGCTAGGAATCTCAGGTCCAGGGCTTCCTGCCGATTGCCTCCAGTCAACTAACATAAAGCTGTGTGTTATCTGAAACTGTCATGTTTTGTCATCAACAACCTTCATGTCGTATTATATCTGTTTGAATCAACAGTATCCACCCCATTGCAAATCAGTGTAATAACCTGGACATACATAAAGCGAGAGGGACTGACTAACTTCCAAGATGAGCGTAGAATCTATCACATAGAGGCGCATCAATTTGATTCGCTACACTTGACAGTAATGGTATATAAAGAACGCTTAGTGTGAACATTCAAGCTTGTCTTAGGGATCACAAGTGACCCTCTTTCAACCTTATCGAAACTCGTTGACGTCAATGGTGCATGGCTCGGCATGAGCAGTAAATGTTGAAGCCATTTTTGTCGATCGTTGTTCACAACCACATCAATTGAATTGAATAGTTTGCCAAGTAACCTTCGCCTTACTTGAACCATTGCTCACACATGGTGATTCCACCAAACGTGAGCAATAAAATGTGAGGAAAACGCAGTAATCACTTCATACATTTTACTTCCAATGGCCATGTCTTACAGCCGTATAACAGGACAGAACGTTCTGAAACACAGTACACTCATCCTTCAACAAATTATAATCAGATATCCCACCAGTCTACACCAAAGATGAAGCAAGTTTCCCTCTTTGGTTTCTTTCAATCGACGGCCTAGCTTGATGCGTGATGTCTCCAAACCGTCTTCTGTATATTTGTTAAGGGATGGCTTCTTCGTTGATTCGTTACCAGCCAGCCAGCCAGCCAGCCAGCCAGCCAGCCAGCCAGCCAGCCAGCCAGCCAGCCAGCCAGCCAGCCAGCCAGCCAGCCAGCCAGCCAGCCAGCCAGCCAACCAGCCAGCCAGCCAACCAGCCAGCCAGCCAACCAGCCAGCCAGCCAGAGTTTCTTGTTGCTTATTCTTATTATTCTCGTCATCTGATCTCCATCTTCAGTATCGAGTGAGCGTAGGCGGTAGCTGTTCATGTATGTCTGCAGTTTGTTAGAAATGCTTTTCGTAACGCGCCAAGTCTCTCAACCATCACGTAGCTGCATGGACTTGTCTGACTTAGTGTTGAAAATTTGGATGTTGTTCACGGTTTATGTTGAGTGCAGTAGATCTCCAGGATGATGCGGTTTAATGTTTTGCTTGGGGTGGACGGGGACAGTAGCGTGATTCCGCGCCAGTTCTTGCAAACAGTGAGGTCTCCCTTCTTCTGGAGTTTCACAAGATACCTCTTCTTCCAATCGGTAGGTACCTTTCCTTCCTTCCCTCCAAACCTTCTGCAGTAGTGATGTGTCTCCTTTCAGTGCTTCTAGCGGGATTCCATCTGGTCCTCCTGCTTTCCCGCATTTCAGTAGCTTTATGGCGTTCAGGACTTCGACCTTTGTTGGAGGATTTATGTTCACTTGTAGTTCTGTGGCTGGGCTGCAGGTTGCATTTCTGGATGAAGTTCAGGTGGTGGTCGATTCAAGAGCTTCTTGAGGTAGTCGGCCCATCGTTTCCTTTGTTTCTCTTCTTTCGTAATTAAATTTCCGTCATCATCTTTTATTGGTTTCACCTGTGCTGTGTTGATCTCTTCCCAGATAGTAACCTGGTTATTTGATACAATGTTGTCAGGTCTCTGTCTCTCCTACTAGCCGACAGCCTGTTCTGCTTCACTTGCCAGTGTGTCGTGGAAGTGTCTTTTGTCTTTCCATGCACTCTTCTTCACTTCTTTGTCCAGTGTAGTGTTTTATACATTGTACTCAGTTCCTCTTCTCATCGTGCATCCTTGCACTGCACTGGATTATCTTCTGCTTCACCATCCTCCTCTTCCTGCTCTATCAGCTTCCATGTGTCCATGGAGATCCATTCCATTCCTTATCTTCTTTCTTCTTCCTTCCTAATACGGCTGTGCAGGTTTCTTTCCACATCTTTTTCAAAGACTTCCAGTGTTCTTCCACAAAGGTTTCTTCAGGGATGTTCTTCAATATATTTCCCAGTTTGTCTTGATGGCTGGCGTGAAGATTTCCTTTGTAGTTTCTTCCTTCAGTTTCCGAGTGTTGTACTTGAACTGTGGTCTGTCACAAGTTTTCTTGAAGGCTTTTAACTTGATTTGGAAGGTTCCTTGCACTAGACAGTGAGTGGTGTGAAGCTACATCTGCTCCTGTTCTTGACCTTGTGTCAAGTAGGCTGTCTCCACTTTCTCCACATTGAGATGAATTCGATCTTATTTTTAGTGTGTCCAGGTGTCCGGTGAAATCCATGTCGCTTTATGGATATCCTTGTGCTTGAACACAGTGCCTCCAATCACCAAATCGTTGAATGCACAGAAGTCTGCAGACAATTCTCAATGAAAGAATCCCATCTGGTCCATCAGACAACACGTATACTGTCAATAAATGGGCTATCATTAAAATCAAAATACCGAAAACTATGATGAATAGTGAATATTAATGAAAATAAGTTTTGACAAGAAGATGTTTCATAACATGATAACATAACTGGAACCTGAATGGTTATTTCAGTCAGAGCATAACAACAAGAATGAGTAGCAAATTACTTAGGAAGTGAATAGTATCAAAACAGAAATGAAAGAAAAAGGGGGCGCGGGATAGAGGAGATTGAAAACTAAGAGGATACGAAGAGAAGGGGTCAGACGATCTTTTTTTGTGTACACAGTTCATGTTTCTCTATATGAGTGGCAAGAGGTTCGGCAATGCAGCGATAACTTTCAACGAGGAGGTTCTTGAGACTCTGGTTATCGCTGCTTTGTGTTACCAGGTTTTGATCCGGCCACTTTGAATCCTCTTTCAATCCCACTTGTGCGTATAAAAAATTACTAGCAATTATCAGATAGCCTTTACGTCTATCAACTTCCTGATGGGTTGAAAAAGTGAGAAAGATGGAGCAGGTATCAGCGAAACATAACATGCAGAAACTATCTCGGATTATTAAACATACTGGCAATAAGAAGATGACGGTAAGTGAAACCATCACTGAAGAGGATTGGACACTAATAACACCTCTGAACAGTCAGGTAGAACCCTGGATATAACACTTTATAGCATAGTTCAAATGGACCTCATCAACGCTTCACTTGTCGACCATCGAACCTGAACCTGAATGAGACGTGGATATCGGTCGTCAAACTCTCCTTGAAGTTCAGAAAGCTTAATGGAACCTGAAACGATGCAAATCAGGCAGTAGGACCACATGTTCAAGGTAGAGTGAAATATCACGTAACAGCGTCAGGGGGGTCCAACAAAATCATAAACTGGGAAAGATATTAACTGCTAGGGACATCAAAATGCTCAACAAAACTGAAGTTGTGAATGAGGTAACATTTTAATTGAACATGATCACACTACTCAATCATAGTAAGTAGTATAAAACTGAATACATAAAAAGGTGAAAGGGGAGGACATCATAAACAATACATAAATTTATCTGAACCGTGTTATCTCGGCTTCCTCAACACCTTTCGAAAAATCTGATCATTCACATAATTGTCATGAATATTCATTTGAAATATTACAAAGAAATAACGAGGGATATAGGAATGAAAAGAGATCAAATAGGAAGATTGAATTAAAGGTTGAATTAACAATGAAAAAACAATCAATCGTAAATTCTTATTATGTCTCAAACTTGGTTTCAGAGTTGGATTAACTGACAGAGATTGAGTGGGATAATAAATACACAAAGATAGTTTAACCTTCTCAATAGCTAAGGTGTTGAAAAACATGAGGATACTTCTCGAATACCTTTTATGAAATGCAGCGACAAATAATATCCACAGAGTTGGATAAGACACAACATTGATGCTGACCTTCAAAGTTTTAAGGGATTCGCTGAACTGAAGGCTAACGATCAAGCATGCATGCCATTTGGCAAGTTGTTTTGAGTTGAAACGCTCGCATGCGATCCCCTAGACAGTTAGTTCTGGGTGTATCGATATTTTCGTACGGGGTATAAATATCTTAATCTACACACCAGTTCTCTTGTGCTCTTCCTTGATGTCGCACTCATGGGTATAAAAAAAATACGAATAATTATCAGATAGCCTTTACGTCTATCAATTTCCTGATGGGTTGAAAAAGTGGGAAAGATGGATCAGGTATCAGCGAAACATAACATGCAGAAATTATCTCGGATTATTAAGCATACTGGCAATAAGAAGATGACGGTAAGTGAAACCATCACTGAAAAGGATTGGACACTAATAACCTCTCTGAACAGTCAGGTAGAACCGTGTATATAACACTTTATCGGTCATCCAGCCCTCCTTGAAATTCAGAAAGCTTAATGGAAGGTAAAACGATTCAAATCAATCAATAGGACCTGCCTTCAACCTAATCCAACTTCCTATAGTATAGAACTTCAAGATCGGCAGTGGGTCACTCTACATATTCAGTAGTAGTCGAAGCTATCTCAGTCGATCAAAGTTCATCAACTCATCAATCAATTTCATAATGGGTTTAAATTTTATTCCTAACAAACCAACCTGCAATTGAACTAGCTTTTCAATAAGATTCATCATTATCAACATAGGACCAGGCATTACTGCGTAACGGTCCCAGTTGCCACACCTCATATCAGCACATCAAGTAAAAAGGTAGTGAGGCGAAGGATGAAGATAAGTGAATGCAGTCAAAAGAAATATAAAGTACGAGAAGAAAGGAAAGAAGAGTGACAAAATGGTGAGATTCGGTATAGCGTTGTTAAGATGAGGATAATGTGTGTATACATCTGCGTCACCGACTTCGGTTGTGAGCCATATCACCTAGAGTCTCCAACCACTAGTTCCTGTTGTCCCGTGCACCCCAACCACCTAGTCTGCATCGTCCTACATGGCTCAAACCAACAGTCAGAGACTTCATACATTGGTGCAATGTTTTCGTCTGACCACCTCGGCGGGCCTTTTTCCAGCCTGGACCCACCTCAGTCAACATTGTGTGACAAGGCAATTTTCAATAAGATTAGACACAAATTATCTAGTTGACTTTCAATTAAAGTAGGTCATCAGTTCGAGTTCCGATTTACCTACTGATGGCGATTTTGATATTATTATTATTATTATTAGTCCCTTGGGTTCCTAGTGGAACATAGGGCTTCAGTAGCACGTCTCCATTTCATCCTGTTCTCTGAGATCTTTTGAACCTGGTCCCACGACAGCCCACAACCTCTCATTTCCTCCTCGCACGACCTCCTCCATGTCACCCTCGGACGTCCAACTCGTCGCTTCCCATGGGGATTCCACTCGAGGGCCTGACGCGTGATGTCCTCAGTCGGCCTTCTCAGTGCATGGCCAATCCATCTCCACTTCTTCCTGCATATTTGTTGGGTGATAGGTTCTTGGTTGGTTCGTTCCCAGAGTTCCTTGTTGCTTATTCTTATTATGCTGGCCATCTGATCTTCAGCAGCGAGCGTAAGCAGTTGTTGATGAATGTCTGTAGTTTATTGGAAATGCCTTTCGTGACGCGCCAAGTCTCTGAGCCTGGTTAACTAGTTTACTAGTTACTAGCCGGTCCTAAGCCCGGGTAAAGAGGGAAGGTTCGGCATAGGGCTAGCAACCCTACCCCGTAAAACAAATCTAACCGCTAAAGAAACTTCAAAGCACAAACAAAATATAAAAAATGAAAACAAACTTATTCCCCGCTGGAATCGGAGAGGCGAAATGACGCCAGTTGGTGAAAGCCTTCGGGAAGCCAATTGGCCGATGTGTCTTCTCTCGATGAAAGCGAAAGTAAACGTGGGGACATGGAATGTCCGCACGATGTTTGAACCCAGTAAGGCAGCCCAGATTGCAAAGGAGATGAGAAGGTATAACATCGAAGTGCTTGGGATTTGCGAGAGCAGATGGAATGGGAGTGGACTCTCCAAACTGTCAACTGGAGAATCAATAATCTACTCCGGTCACCCAGACGCCAACCACGAGCACACTGAGGGAGTGGCTATCATGATGTCCTCAAGAGCATCGAAGGCGATTTTGATACAATCAGTTAATTGTATTATTAGTCCTACTGGATATGATTGTTTCTAGTAGAAGAAAACCCCCAGTTTTCAACTTGTATTGAACATCGTTTTCCCTATTTATTATTTCTCGTTAATTATTTTTTTTTCTATTTTCTCTCTTGTGGATTTTCATTTATGCTTATAGTTGAATTGAAGCCTCAATCCACATGTATAGTTGAATTTGGTGTAGATTTTGCAGGATTCTGTGATTCAATTGATTTAGACTTAGTCTATGAAATGGTATCGAATTCATTGAATTTTGAACAAATAAAAAAATGGCCGATTTGTTTAACTCCACCACCTACAGAATTAATACGACCTATTGATATGAATAAAAAAGATTATTTTATACAACGAGGTAATTTAATTATAATTTAATTATTAAAGATAATGATAATTTTGACAGATTAGTATTTCTACAAGAGTTAAATGAAAATTTCAATGTTGACCGGTTTCGAACCAGTAGAGTAGTATCGGATTAGAAATCTGATTATGGTTGAAATTATCATTTCAAGCTTAGATATAATGAAGAGTTATCATTTTCGTCACAGATAGCAAAGCGTCTAGATATATTCATTCATAAGGGTACGGAGAAGGTTGAGTCAATTAGAAATGTATGTTGGAGATGTTTATGGAATCGTACGCGAATGAACCGACATCGATGATCATCTCTTACAATTTTGTTCTGATAATCGCTTGTTTCTGACTAGTGCTAACTTTAGGCATAAAAAGAGACACACTGTCTCATACATCATCCGTTGACATCAAACTAACGATAGACAAGAGATCTATGATATCGCTATAATCCATCGGTGGAGTACCAGTTAGTTGGAACTCTGATCATGCACTTGTACGGACTCGTATATGTCTATGCCTTATCGGTTTCAGGGAATATCCGATAATAAAGCCTGTCTATGATCTATCAGAAGATGAAAATGTCAAGTCAAAATTGAGAGATGAAATAACTAAGCATTCACCTGAACATGACAGGAATGCTGATGCTGCTGAAGAAACCTGGCGTAACATTAAGTCAGTGGTAATGACAATTGGCGATCTACGTGCAAAAGTTTCCAAACATCATTAAATTTCAAGACTTATTCCAGCTGAGTCTGAACACAATAAATAGCGGAACCAGTGTCAACGTAAGTTAACCATCAATCTTCGTGTTGATCGCATGCGGTGGTGGATGCTGACAACGAGAGACATAGTGAAGGTATCAGCAAAACGTAACATGCGGAAACTATATTGGATTACTAAAGATACTGGAAATGAAAACACTATGATGATCGACACCATCACTGAAAAGGATTAGACGCTAATATAACTCCTCTGAATAGTCAGCTAGAATGTTGGACATCACACTTTATAACATAGTTCAACTGGACCTGAGCAACGGTTGACTTACCCACCATCAAACCTGAACCTGAATGAGACGTAGATATCGGTCGTCAAACTCTCCTCGAAATTGAGAAAACTTCATGAATCCTGAAATGATGCAAAGCAGGCAATACGATCTGACAGTGTATCACGCGACGTTTTAAACGATGGAGGCAGGAAATCACGAATTCAAGTGACGGAGGTACCAGTTGGTGAGTGTATCGAAATCGGAGGTAGTGCCATCAGACTAGTGCAATTAACTAATCACTCCAGTGTATAAAAAGCGAGAGAAATCTTCTCGCAACAAGTATAGGAGAATTAGTCTCACAAATATTGTGACCAAAGTGTGGAGTATCATAGTTACCTGGCGGGAACCTGAAGTTGGGGAAAACCCAGTAGCTTTCACACGTGATTCAGTGCGCATCGACCATATTTTCACCGTGTGACATGTTCTGGAACACACATATACCTACCAGTGTGTGCTCGACACTCGCAATACCTGTTGATGTTAAGGTGAAACTGGACTTTGTCAACTATGAAGTGTTGTGGCATTGTCTAATTATGAGAAGAGTAGTGATCAAGTGTATAACACTTATCAAAGTATTAGGGAGGAGAGATCAGTCAGTTGGTGGTGTTGTGAACCTTCATTGATTGAGATGACTGACACATGTATTGCGTATACCCAACCACCGTCTACCTCGTAGCACAATCTTGACTGAAATGGAAAAAGGTTCATGGGGTGATCATACTAAAATATGACATGAATGCATGAAATGGATTGGCTGTTGGTTTGAGTCATGTATGACAAGGTAAACTCGCCAGTTGTGATCCCTGGGAGAAGAGAAACCAGTGATTTCAGACTCATGTGACTGAGAACCGATGTCCGTAGAGCATACTAACCACTATACTTGATCTCATCATCTCCCCATTCTTCTTTTCACCAATCTCTCTTTCCTTCTTCATCTTCTACATTGTTGTGTTGTTGTGTAATATGAGGTATGGCAACTGGGATCGTTGTTACGCAGTAATGCCTGAGTAGTCCTATGTTGTTCTTGACGATGATGATGAACCTTTCATGACAAGTAAGTGTGTGTGTGTGTGTTTGAAATGTGCTGTGTAAACATACATTACACGATTCAGACAAACTACACCATCTTCTTGTTGTTGTTGGTTTAAAATTCACTCATGACAGATTCCTAACACATAATATGTTACTTGTGCAATGCAGGCCCCAGGTGTCCACACTAAAACATGGCATCAATCTATGAAATCTCTGACTGTTGATTTCGGACATGTAGGGTGGTGATGCAGACTAGGTGGTTGGAGTCCACGGGACAACAGGAATCAGTGGTGGTTGGAGACTCTAGTGGATATGGCTGAGAACCAATGTCACTGGCACAGATGTATACACACAACACACATTATTCTCATCTTAACGACGCCATACCGAATCTCACCATTTTCTCATTCCTCCTTTCTTTCTTCTCATACTTCATATTTCTTCTCACTGCATTCTCTTATCTTCATCATTCACATCACTACCTTTCTACTTCATGTACTGACTGATATGAGGTGTGGCAACTCGGTGAGGGTTATGCAGTAATGCCTGATCCTATGTTGATATTGATTAATTGTACAATGTAGTTTGACGAACTTATCATTAATGTGAATGAACTACAATTCTTTCTTGTACCACTCTCAACGTCAATCATCTTCATTCGTTCTAAGATTCACGGTTTGTGAGAAGTATAGACTGTTGGTTCTATCTATCCTTATCGAATCGGGTGGCTATGCTCACATTTGACTTGTTAATTCATAGAGAAGATAATGAAGAATATGGCGTTTTATAAGATAATTGGGAAATGGTTAAAGCGTTAAGACAACAGGTGGACTGATCACAATATCAGTCAATGAGGAATTAAAGTAGTAAAGTCAAGGTGACTCGTTGTGGATTGGTTATTCACCATTTCTGATTATCTGAGATGGCAGCTGTGATTTAGCAGACTAGTATTTATACTGGATGATAATTGAAGGTGAAAAGAAAATGTTCACCACAGTCGGATTCGAACCAATGACCACCAGGTTTTCGATCGATTATTCCATCACCTAGAGATATGGACGACTGGATTTCGCTGACCCAGTGGTTAGCTCAACGGTAACGTGCTGACCATGGAAGATGGACTTGATCTCTGGGAGGGGGGTGGTGATGTCCTGGGTGCTCACTACTGAATACCAGCATACTGGGGTGAGACAGCTGTTGTCCAGTGATTCTAGGCTTCCAATGTCCCCCTGAATGATGTCAGTCGAAGATGGTCCTCATGACTCAGTTGGTAGAGCGTTGGGCTGGAGGTGTATCAACTGGGACCGTTGTTACTCAGTAATGTCTGGTTTTAAAATTCACTCATAAGAGATTCCAAACAGATAATGTTGCTAGGCATACATTAGGCATCATACTTTATTTATCAGTAAAGTAAACTGGGTTCATAGATCTAACTGTGATAGTTATTGAAACGATCATCGTGTATAAACAATGAAAACTTCCATTTTATATGATGATTTAATTCGATAATGATAGATAGATCAGTTAGTGTCTGTTCTCATTGGACAGAAATAGGCAATTGTGGATTATTAGATTTTCACCTTAGAGAGTCTGGGTTCGACCCCCTAGAGAGGGGTAAAGGGTGGAAGATTGGTTGTTTTTTTTCCCAACGGATATTAGTCCATAATGATTTATTGTCTATTATTTTGTTGTTCTTCTTTACACCTATTGATTAGATAAACTTATTTCAAGTGGATCATTCCATCATCATCATCATCATCATCATCATCATCATCATTTCAAGGTGAAAGATCATCAGTCTACTGGTAATGTTGTAAGCTCAATAGACTATTCATCTCAATTAATAAGTCATCTTTTACAGTATATCAATATAAAATATCAATTCAATACATTATACCGTCATTCTAAGTGTATATGTGATCATTTCGACTGTCATAATGAAAACTTGGAGTTATCTCAGTCGACTGCATCCATCGATTTGGATACTTCATATCTGAGTATATTCTTAGCTGGTCAAACTGTAGCTGATAATCAATTATGCCTTATTGAATTTGCATGGTCGCCTACAATCCTCCTGAATAATAATAATAATAATAATACTAATATGGAGATTATTTCAAGTATATTTTGTAATTCTACTAGTATATTTCGTAAGCATTTATCCTCTTCAATTGAAAAGATAATCTTATCATGGTAAATATCTTCTTATTCTATTTTCAATGTTGTTTAACTGTATCACTTTGATTCGAACTTTTTTTGGCGCGCATTTCATATTGAAACAGCATTCCTATTTCTTATTGGCTTATATATTCATTGTGTATTGATTAATTAATAAAACTGAATGAGACTAGTGATGATTGAAGATGAGATGAAAATTTGGACTGTAGCCGGATTCGAACCAATCGACTAACGGGGTTACCAGCCTGATAGTCTACCAACTGATTGAAATGAAATAAAACTCGAAACTCAATTGGTAGACTACTAAGCCGGTAATCCGATGGTCGCTGATATTCCAATCTTGCTGTCGTCCAAGTTATCATCTCACCTTCAATCATTACCCAGGGTAATAAAACTGTGATTACTTTTTATCTATACTTTTCATTCTCTTTTTTTTTTCTGAAATTTTTCATCTTTTCTAGGAGAAAAGTAAAAAAGTGTTATGTTGTTTTTCTCGTTTGTTTGTTAATTGATTCTTGTTATTATTGTTGTTGTTGCTTAGTGTGATTTATGTGTGTTGTTAATTTCGTAATGATAAGAAAACAAGGTAAGTATTGATAGAAACAAGGGATGGAAGGTATACAACGTAATACTACAAGTTATATTATGTTGTGACTACTATTTGTTGAAGGATGAGTCTACTGAGCTGGAGTTCATTCAGTCCTGTTGTACGTCTATGATATGTGGCTCTTAACAGTAGAAGAGATGAAGCGGTAACATGTTTCGATCATAAGTACCTTCAATAGAGCAATATTGAGATCAAGTACGGGGTACTAAGGAAGAAAGTCGATTTGATGATGTTGCGAACCTAAGTCGATTAGGGTGGAGTCAGTATGTGCTGCCGTGTGCTGCCCCGAGTTTGTGTGACATTAGACACAAGTCATCGACGAAATACAAATCTTGTAGGATGTTTTCCCCAGTCGAGTGTATCCCCCTCTTCTCGCTGCTCACTGTTTGCTGCATGATTCAGTCCACTACAATCAGGAATATCATGTGTGATAGTAGGTGTCAGCCTTGTTTTACTCCTGTCTTCACTTCACTTGGAAGGTATCACACTGAGCTTTGCATTGTGTTTTAAATAACTTGGCATGTGGCATCTTCATACAGTTGTTGAATGAGATTGATAAAGGTTTGTGGTACTGAAGCCGTAGTGTTGAAGCAGCAGTTGCCAAATTACTTCTCGGTCTACGCTGTCGAAGGCTTTTTCAAAGTCGACGAAGTTGAGGTACAGGTACAGTTGACTGCAATTCTGTACTCTGTGTTTTGATGATGCGAAGCGTTGCAAGTTGATCGGCACAGGATTTGCACTTCATGAGTAATTCCATACTACTGTTGTACATCTATGAAATGTGGCTCTTAATAGTAGAAGAGATGAAGCGGTAACATGTTTCGATCATAAGTACCTTCAATAGAGCAATATTGAAGTCAAGTACGGGGTACTAAGGAAGAAAGTCGATTTGATGATGTTGCGAACCTAAGTCGATTAGGTTGGAGTCAGTATGTGCTACCGTTGTCAAGCAACCAACCACCTGCCTCGAATTGCAAATTTGAGATAAGTTATATTAGATTGGTAAAAGTTTGAGAGTGATAGATATAACACTAGTGTATAAAGTTGCATATATGAAGGTGTAGACTGGTGTTTTGTTCCCATTGGTGAGATGTTAGGAATCAGTGGTTGAGGACTATGAGTGGCATGATATAAAATAAGTCACACAATGATTACATTCTCACTACTATTTTTTATCTTCAAATTGTCTACTTTGCTATTAGTCTCCTTTTTATATTCACCTTGTTCTCTGTATCCTCGTGTGAAGTGTGTCAAAGATTTCACGTTGATTTCATCTGTCTGATGGAATACTGAATATATTTCAATTCAGATAGCCATCTAATTTACTATGAAGGCATTATAAATCTCATGGAAGCTTATCTTATTATAATTTAGACATTTAAAAACAAGACTGATTAAATAAAGAGATGTTCATTCCTTTTCAACTGCCTACTCTCGTCACTGAAGCTCAGATGGCCAGGAAGAATCAGCAACAAGGAACTATGGCTGGCCGCAACGAACCAATGTAGCAAGAACCTATCGCTCAACAAATATGCACTGGAAGGAAGTGGATATGGATTGTGCATGCACTGAGAAGACTATTCGGGGACATCACGCGCCAAACCAGGCCATCGAGTGGAACCCAGATGGGAAATGGCGAGTTGGGCATCCGAGGCTAGAGTGACATGAAGGAGATCTTGCGAGGAAGAAATGAGAGCTTCTGGGCAATCTTGGAGCGAGGTTCAAAAGACTGGAGAGAAGAGAGTCGAGTGGAGGCATGCTACTGAAGCGGTATGTTCCACTAGGAACCCAAGGGACAAATAATGAAATAATAATAATTATACTATTCCTCTTCAATTACGTCTTCGTCTTCTCCTCTACATCTATTTGTCTACATATTGATAATCCAATCAAAATACCAATCCAACAGTCGTGGTCATCGACGGTTGATAAACAATAATCATAGATGAAGATGATAAGTTTGAGGAATTAAGATATAAATAATCCATTGAGCAAGTAAACAATTTGTAATATGAAGCAGGTTAGGGTTAGGTGAATGGAGTGATTGTTGATGAGTGAGTATCCAGTCATTAACAATAAGCGACTACGTAATAATAAGAAATCAAGTGAGTACTGATAGAAACAAGAGGAAGCGCGGGTGGGAAGAGATGTACAAAGTTATACTAGAAGTTACATCATGTTGTGCCGACATCGACAATAATGAAAGGTAGTCGAACAAACTTCGTTAGAATACAAAGATTAGCTTAGGTTTGTTTGTGAAGGTGTGGATTATAATCACTTGTGGTATGTGAAGTAAGCGAGTGAGTAATCTATGTGGAAAGTAGATTGGAATATGATGAATAATTCTGACAGCTTTTCTAGTATCCACTTGATATCCTGTGTTAACTGTGTGTGTAAGTATGGAGGTCTTTATTGTTCTAATTTGCCTCATGCTCAACCATGATGAGTGATGCTCCGAAATTCGACGATGGCCTGACTTCATTGTACGTTCAATGTGAATAATTCTACAGGAGCAGAGGAAGTAATAAATGCACATGGAAGTGGTAGAATCAGATAGTTTGTCTCTATTTCTTGCACGTGGAATCGTTCAGCGGTTGTAGAAGATAGGACATAATTTACCGGCTAGGAATACTTTCTGTAAGACTCTTTTTATGTGTTGTGTTATGATCTGACTAACAATGCCACCTTCGTATTTTTCAGGTTTAAGAAGATTTGTTTCTCAGGAACTGTTGGCATTCTTGTCTTCACCTTTGTAGTATACATATCCTTAGTTACAAACTTCGCTGGATACCCATTCCTACTAAGTAGATCACATGTGGTGGCGAAGTCTTCCTTTATATCATTATCTGAGCAAATTACTGTGGCACAGTACGGTAAACATTTCGCTAGGTTCATTTTGTATTGGTGGGGTTCAGCAGTAAAGAAGTGCGTGTATCGACCTTGTATATACACTTCGTTTCAGAGTTCTATCTAACCTTCCTATCAGTAGAACATCAAGAAATGGGGATAGTGTGATTTTTCTCCTCTTCTATTGTGAACTTCATTGCCGGATGAACACTATTGAATTTATTGAGAACAGCATTGTTATGAATATCACTTTTGAGAACAATAAAGGTATAATCCATGTAACGACAATGTAATTCTAAACGGCTAATAGTTTCATTCAGCACATCATTCTCTAGTTTTTCCGGAAAAGAGTGGAGGAAGGGGTGTTCCCATAGCTACACCATTAGACTGCTTGAAGAGTTCATTTTACTCGCCTAAAGGTTACTTGATTGTAAGTCACGCATTAACTGTTGACATCTACCTATGCAAGCCTGTGGTATTCAGTGAATCTACAATAAAAACACAGTGTGAATCGTTGGTTGTATCCCTATACGAGAGGAATCCGAATAACAGTTAATCATTGTGTGGTTAGTGTTTTGCACCATTGAAATGTAAAGTATTTTCATTAGATTCGCAGGACACTGTGATTGCGCTCAGTTTTGGCGGTGAGCTACTGGAAGTAGTCTGAGTAGTTGTGTGAGGGTTTACAACTCTTCAGTGTGAGCGGTTCTGCTGTACACCTGTGAAACCTGACCTCTCCTAGCTTAGGATTTTGTGGCCATAGGATTTCTCGAATCTTGTGGCAACATAATGTAAGCACTACTGAGGTACGACAGCGTGTGTCTGGATATCATGGAGATCGTCGTCATTCAACAAGGGAAGTCATCTGGAAACATGGGCTTCGGTGGCTTGGATATGTGTTTCGCATGTCGTCCCAACGAATTCCATACCGTGGGATATAAGATAATTGTATCGCATTAGCATCTGTTAGTGCATCAAGACTCTATGTTTTGGGGTTCGCGATATCACGCACCTCAATGGCTTGAGATGTTATCGGATATGGCTGAGAATCGAAACCCGTGGCGATCATGTCATAACTTTCTTTTATCTAGTGCTGATGAAAAGTAGTGAATTGTTATATCTTCAAAAAGGTGGTATATTATTTTGGATGAAGCATTCCTTCATGTCCTCGCTGTGCCTTGTTTGTGTTCTAATAGTAATAATAATAAGCAGTCAGCGGTCGCCGGGTTTCCAGCCCGACGCTCTACCAACTGAGTCACGAGGACCATCTTCGACTGACATCATTCAGAGGAACATTGGAAACCTAGGATCACTAGACAGCAGCTGTCTCACCTCAGTACGCCGCTATTTAGTAGTGAGCACCCAGGACGCCACCCCCCCCTTCCCCCAGAGATCAAGTCCATCTTCCATGGTCAGCACGTTACCATTGAGCTAACCACTGGGTTGGAGAAATCCAGTCGTCCATATCTCTAGGGGATAGAATAATCGATCGAAACCTGGTGGTCATTGGTTCGAATCCGACTGTGGTGAACATTTTCTTTTCACCTTCAATTATCATCCAGTAT